ACGCCGTTTCTGCATCTCGTGCATGCAACGGACACCTGTCCATCCACTTGATGCCTGCAGAGTGCAATTCTCTCTTGCGGCCTCCTCGTCCTCTCGGTTGCTCATGCATGCCGCTGCAGATTAAGCGGCGTGCCCGCCTCTAGTCCCAACCATCTGACCCATCATTCATCCAATTGATTTTATTTTGATGCGTTGGCGGTTTTGCCAGGCCGCAAGCAACTTGTTCTGTGTGTCTTTTTCTTTCCTGCTCTCGGCCCCTGCGCATCCTATGCCACCCGATATGGGCTCTCACTCACAGACGTCTACATGAGATGGATTGCAGGCGGTTTTAGCTGACAACGGCAATGTCCGTCAAGGCCACTTACCGAGGGAATACACGGTCTCTTCACAGTGCGCGAGGCGGAGTGGACACAGGTGGCTGGCAGAACTCACCTTGTCAAGACTCAACGGTCTTGTTCGCGCGCAGATGACGGTTCACGACGCAAGCCACAATTGCCCGGCTAACTGTCCAAGAACCCCACGTTGTCCGGCTTTACACGGGGTTTGTCAACGAAGGGTTTGAGAAAAAGAACTGGGATATCCGGCCTGTATCCGTACACGCAAGCCTCTGTAGGGTGTGTCTAGCCAATGTGGTGGCAGGCACTCGGTGAGCGCATCAGTCAACTCTGCTGAACATATTATTACCCCGCGAACTTGTTGGTTACAGCCAACTGAAAGATTGGTGCAGCAGAAGCCCAGGCAGTCTTCAATCGGACCGTCTAACTAGAAACGGTCAAATGAGAACACTGAAAGACAAGAAGCCTGTCGATTGTTGCGAATGAGCTGCCCGGCTCCCTCCGCCCGGAGCAACCGGGACAGTGTCAGGCAATTCATTGAGACGATTAGTAGAGGTGCCCGCGAAACAGTCGATACTGGTGCCAGGAAGACCCCCGCGAAACTTCCAAGATGCGCCAACCAACCCTTATCAAAACGGCTCCTACAGCTATTTCTCCGATTCCTACGAGGTAGAGGTACAAGCCGTCATGAAGTATGCAAGTCGTCAACGAGAAAATGTGCATCAGCCCTGTATCTCGATGAAAGCGGCAGCGCCATGGAGTCGATCATTTCAAACGCTGATCATTCTATCTGTGGCGGCAAGCTTTCTAAGCGGGCAGCTGAGGGTTTATGATGCTAGTCGAGGTCGGCCAGCTCTTTTGATATCATCGCGACCCCAAGCACGGCGGGCGGGAACTGCTTTGCCGCATCCTGAGCAAATGTGTCCCGGTGGAACCCCTTTTGCAAACTCGGTCCCATTCGCGGCAAGCAGAACAGGGCAGACATGCCCTTGTTCATGTTGGGAGTTCACGAGTTGAACATGCCATGCAGCTCATCGGCAACTCGACAGGGCGAGAACGGGGTACGGGACCCGAAAACTACGGTGAAGCATCTTCAGCCATACAAAGACGCCGAGAGCACCCACACGCCCAAGTTTGTGTAGGGAACGGCGACATGCATGTTGGCCGCTGCGTGGTTTGCAAAATACCCATGACGAGCGGCAAGTTCCTCCGAATTCGATGCGGCGCCTTGTCCGATCTGAGAGAGACACGATTCCACTCGTACAGGTGGACAAGAGTGGCTGTGCGTGTCAGGACAGTCATCAATCTGACGTTTGACACTGCATGTTGTTGCTCATAGCTCATAGCCTTACAAGACACGCATTGCGGCATGCAACCCTCATCCGTGTTGGGACTGACTTGCGAACTCAAGACGGCTCATCGCATTCAGCAATCAACATAGCTGCCGATGCACATAACCTTTAGTAGGAAGAAGCATTTCCCTCCTCGTGTGGCTAACCCGCAGTAGGTAACTCTGCTCTTTCTTCGGAACTCATTCTGAATAGCACTCGGTCCTCAAGTCTATCCGCGGGACGAAGCGACTACGCGTACGTGTTCGAGATGGCCCAGGAGGAACCTTGGCCGAATTGCAGCGTCGACAAATTAAAGTGTCCGAGGACGCACGAGCACTGTTTTACTCCCAACTGGGCTTTTCCTCGCAAGCTCACCATGACGGGGCAGAGGCCACTTTGAAGCTCTGATCGATCTGAAGTTTTCTTCACACAGTGGCAGTTGTTCTGCGAAATCATCTCTCATCTGCATGTAAACCTCCCAGGGGCTATCCGTACGCAGCAACAGTCTCCGTAGCTGCCCCGCTTACATGACCGGGGGCATCTCTTTTGTAGGTGGGATGCGGATATTTTTGGGAGGGAAAAGGGCCTGCAACAGGGCGGATCCCCAAATGGAATCGTTTTACTGCCTACGATCTGTCGACAAACAACGGGACACGCAGGCGTCGGAGACAACGAATCAACACAGGCGAGCTCCATCAATTCACGGCACCTGATCTCGTGATGCTGCCTCGGCGGTTAGGCGAGCAATGCATGTGCCGGATCGTCTTCCATTGGGGCTATTGGCTTGTGCGATGCGGAGATGATCGGTGGCCGACCGCTGATGGAACGTCGCCGCCATTTGCATCCGGCATCATCAACAGCCTCACACGCACGTGGGAGACAACTGATGAAGCGCGCGCGGGGGAGCTTCCGCAGTGAATGAAGGATGGTGAGAGCTCAGTGAGATGCCACCGCTCACGTCGTTGACGAAAACAACTCGTCCCCGTCGCGCGGTTTAGAGTTTGGGAACCCTGGCCATTGACAATTCCAGAGTCAGAACAGGGCCTGTATTGTTCGCGCAGTGCGCGCCGCTGTTGCAAGAAACTCCGCGCGCTTCCGCCAACGCCCATCAATCACACACTCGGGATGGAACAGTCTAGTGGCAGTTGGCATCGAGTCACCGACAGCACGCAGGGGATCCCGATCGCTGGCTGCAGCCCGAACTATACATGGATGCTACATTTTACCCTGACACATCCACGCGTTCAGACAGCATGCCGTATTGCCTCCAACGCGAGGTCAGAAACGGCGACTTGTTGAACACGCCGTTGCCGTCGCTGTCCACGAAGAAGGGCAGGGGGCCCGGGGGCCGAAGGGGGGCATGTCCACGAACTTGCGAGGTACAGATATACTTCCGCATCTTGTCATCGCACATGGGGCTGCATATCCTCTTCGTGGGGATGGCCTGATATCTGCTGCCCTTCCTCGAGTCTCGTGTCTCGTGTCCTAGCAGACCCGCCGGAATAAGAAGAAAGCAGGCCGCTGGACGGTGAGAAAGAGCAAGATGCCTACGGAGTACGAAGTGCGCAACTTGCAAGGCCAGACTTGCCCCTGCCCTTTGCCTTCGCCTAACCTCCTGTTCAACTTCTTTCTCCCTGCAATCACGCTACGCGCAAGATGATGGCCGCCCGCCCGCCAAGTGTTCGCGGAAGCAGCGCTGCCAGATCCGGAGTGGGGAGCGTTCTCCTTTGTGGTTTAGAGCTATCATGGCTGCCATGTGGAATTGACTGACTAGCAACGGGGACAGGCTTGGAAGTTATTTGGTGGTTATCGTCTGCTAGCGTCCTGCCAACTCAGAGCTTCGACTGGGGATGTTCATCCGCTCATCGGTCGGTGCGATCGCCCTATTCGGGACGCGAAACCCGTTTGATTTCGTTACGTAGCAACGAGCAACGGGACAAGCTTAGTGAAGAAGAGACGTGGTCGACGAGCGTTCTTCATCTCGTTTCAACCCCGTCAAGTTGCTCAAGATGAGCCCCCTCCATTTTCTGAAGCTTGCCTGGGATCGGCTGACTTGCAAAAAAGTTGCAGTGCGAGCTTGGCCGTCCTGATCGGAAGTGCCATGTGGTTCGTGGCAGGGCTATCCATGAGCGGCCGTCTTCGAGATGGTTCTTTGTCGATATTGCTCTCTCCTCTCCTAATTTACCCTTTCTCTCCCTTCTCGAGTCTTCCCCCACCGGGTCAGAATTACTGTGGATACTAACTACCGACCCGACCGCATCCGTAGGCCGCGTTGACAAAGATTAAAGACCAAAACTAAGATTGAACCTAAGCTTCCGACACGGACGGCAAGCAGCAATGCCCGCGTCGCGGCGTCCTTCTTCACACATGATTCGGGCACTTGTTACCATATTTGGTACGTACGCGCCGCATCGCGATCACGCAAGCCCGCGCGTCCGGCAGCGGCTCTGTCGTGGATATGCATAGTGATGGTTACTCCATGCGCAGGCGGCCGACTTTTTGACCAACAGGGCCCCGAAAAGTTGCAACATGTTACAATAACAAGGTCCTATCCACATGGGTCCCAATTCGCCAACTCGGACTTCATGGGGAACTTTTCTTTCTCTCCTTCCTCTCACGTGCGTGAGAACATCTCCCATCCCGCGCAGTCATGCAGATCCCATCAGACGTACCATTTTCCTAAAAAAGGGAGCCTGTTGTTGGGGCCTGCTGAGTACCACTCCTGAGTCCTTGCCGAGCTTTACGTACGGAGACTTGGTGTTGGAACACTCGTTCAGACTCTTTTTCTCTCACACCCCTGTTCCAACAGCGCCAGCAAAGGAACAAGGACTACACAGTACATCGGGCGACGAGTCGCAATGTGGATGATGTGTCCGGTCTTTTTTTTTTTTCTTCCTGATCGACCGGTGGACTTTTGAAGAGGGGGTGTAAGCACGGCACGGCTCGGCCTGGTAGCTTGACTTTTTGGTTTTTCGACATGCGACATGGTACCTACCAGTAGTCTAGTACCTACCTTACTCCGTTGTCAGCCATCTGCTTTTTGGCTGACGAGTCTGACCAAGTTTTGAGAGGGTTTCGGTAGGTACGGAGACTTGGAGGTCCAGTCACTCAGTCTGCTGCTTGAGGCTAGCGCTTCGTTGGCACATCATCCACGTTTTGAGGCGCAAAGGGTTGTACGATCATGATGTGAAGGCGCGCGTGAAATGGGCTCAGAATGATGATGATCTTGACAGGTTGCGACGCCTTTTGTTGGAACGTAAAGTCTATAGCCAGCAAAGTCTACAGCTTCCTTGCGGAGCAGCTGATCTATCCCAAGCATGTTCACCAAACTTCTCTACGGCCACAACTCAGTCTTTTCCCACCCATTAACCCTCTCCGCACCACCCTCCGCCTCCGCCTCCGCCTCGGCCCCGACAAACCGGTAAAGATACCGTCTCGGGTCCTCCGAGTCGCTCAAATCCGTCTGATCCACCTCGGTCGGCACAACCACCACAACCCGGAAATTCTCCCTCGCCACCTCGTCCTCCAGATCCTCGACCTTTTGCCCCAGCTTCAGCGTGTCGGTAGGCGGGTTCGCGGCGCGGGACGTCCCCGGCTCCGGGTTCCGGAACGTGCCGCGCATCATGGGGGATAGGTTTCCAAAGTGCGCGGTGATTTCGCGGGAAAAGGACCAGTCTGCTTCCGAGGTGCCGATGATGGATTTACCTTCCGGGATGTCCTCTTCGCGGCGGCGTTTGGCGTCTGCTGGGGTGACGGAGCGCATTCGCGCGAGGAGGTGGGAGCGGAGCGCCGTGGAGGCGTCGATGTCGGGCCCGAGGAGGTAGGCTTCGCCGCGGATGCGCCATTGGACTTTTGCGTCGGTCCAGAAGCAGGCTTCTACGGGGCCGCCGCCGCCTGATTTTTGGGGTGAGTCTTTTCCGTTGGTGAGAAAGTCGGGCACTTTTGCCATGCGGGCGTCGGTTGTTAGGGTGAGGAGGTCGGATTCGTAGAGGGGTGGGTTGAGATCTGCTGTGTTTTTGGGGTTGACAGGGAGGGAGGCCCAGAGGCCGCGGAAGATTACGGTGCGGAGGCGGGGGGTGAGGGAGGATGAGGCAGAGGAAGACGAGGATGAGGAGTGGATTGTTGCGAGGTTGAATTCTGGTGAGGCCATGTCGGTTACGTTTTTGAGAAAGGGGGCGCGCCAGGGCGCTGGGCCTGGGGAGGCTTTTGAGGTTGATGGGGAGGAGGACATGGTGCGCGGTGAGCTGGGGGAGGGTTGGAGGTGGTGGGTTAGTTGGGTTACGCGGCGGGTTGAGAGGGTTCGGATTATCATGGGTTTGTTGATGGCGATGGATTGAGATGGAGGGTTGATGGATGTGGATGAGGTAGGTTGTTTTATGAGTGAGGTTGAGAGGTGAGGAATGTCGTGTGAGGTTTTTTGAGGTTAGGTGGTTTTTTTTTTTTTTTTGGTCTATGATTCATCATTGGACCACATGGTGAGTTGCGCCAGCCTTCAGAGCAGGATGACAGGTATGGATATTTTGTTTTTTTAAGCTATTTAGTGATATTATCTTGATGAATAGTGATATATTTTGTCCTCAAAAATGATATTTGAACGAGTCGGAAGTGAGATTTGTTGTTGACGTGCGAGATTTGGCGGGGTCGTCGGGAGATACCCCGCTGTCGTCATGACGTGAATGAGCTCGTGGGAGAGGCGAAAGTAGAGAGACATGCTACGTTCATGGCATCGCTCTCTTAATTCGAGATATTTCCAAGAGGAATTTCGTGTATTCTGCCTTTGACCCAGCTCTTGCACATTTGATCTCAACCTCTGACCCTTGGCTGAACGACGTGTTGTACCTGCCGGGGTGCAGTTCAGACTCCAGCCACGCATCAGATACTTTCCGCGGCGCCATCAACGCGCGTTCCAACTGAAGCGTTAATAAATCCTTTTCCAACGGCCTGTATAAAAGAATTTTAGTCAAGTGGAAGCGAACAGTGTAGTAGTACACAGATAATCCAGAAATGCAAACGTACTCTTTGGTCGTGGGGTCTTCAAACAAATTATATTGAGTCGGGAAGAAACTTTCTTCAGCTTTAGGGTTGTGATATCCTTCATCCTGCAAATCCATCAAAAACATGGTGGCTGCTGCTAAATCTGTCGTGATCTTTGAGATATGGTCACTGCCATGCTGGGAGCATTCAAACAAAGAGGAGCGCCCCAGAATGTCGGACATGGCATCATCTCCGCCTTCGACTTCTATCCCATGGACATAAAGACGCAGTGATACGAACCTGGGAAGAAATTTCTCTGTCCAAATCCTCGGGTTCCAGAGTCCTACACGCGAGATAACATGATTAACTTCCATTAAGCTACAAGGAAAACTCTCCGCATTACCCTACATCCCTCGAGGGTTTGATCACTTACTTGACATAAGAGTCACGGAGATACGACTCAAAACCATGCACTTGGCATTTCGCCATTTCCTCGTCGGCTCCGGATGCACGTTTGAGCTCTCGTCCTCGGAAGAGCTGTCGTCCAGGTCGTCGGCGGGTCTCGGGGCGGGGATAATGTACTCTTCTTGACATTTCTGAAGCCTCTCGAGGCTCCTCTTCAGGCTGTCAAACTCTGGCTGCAACTCTGTGTCCCGCTTGAGATCGCGTGTGAGCATCATGATGGTGAGTTCAAAGATGAAGGTTGTCGCCTTTGTGAAGTTAGACAAATACTCTTCTGTTATGAAGAATTCCTGCGGGGATGCCGCTTCTAGGCCTGATAGAATGTTGTCGTAATGGATAACATTATTGCCACTGTTTAATGAGGCCATCTTTGGTATTGCGAGAGGGTGGCGAAGATAAGATGGAGCTGATGAACATGAGAATGGCAAGAAAGAGCAGATTATGTACCCAAATGGAGGTTCACTGTTCGCTCGCCTTTGTCAAGGCGTCTAGATACCTTTGACCAATGAGTTTTTGAATCACAGGAAGGCTGTTCGTGTGTCTTTGTTGCTCTACGTCACCCGCCATGGCCAACCTTGTCAGCCCCGACGATAAACCGCGGTACTTCCCTACATGCAATCAAATGATATTTGGCTTGTGTGCTTTGGCTAGTCGTCGGGGAGATACCCCGCAGGCGTGATGGCGTGATGGCGTGAAGGCATGGAAGAAGTTTACGTAGAAGGCTTTCTCGACCCCCGCGAGAGAAAGTAAAACCAGCGCAGGGCGTCATGTTTCGCTAGAAGCTTTTTCAATGTTTCTATCTAAATGGTATTCAAAATCTGATAGTTGGTGTCATCGTGAGAGTCTGGCTGCTCAATGCTCTAATAACGTAACAATCTCTTCGTCTATTTTCCTCCCATCGACCCTGCTTCTCATCCAATGATCTTGATGACAGATACTGGTACAGCCTCGGACTAAAGCCACCACTTGCAGAAACAAATGGGTGAGAAGGTTTAACTCAGCAGCACTTCCATTGCTTAGAGTATCGTGAAGGTGGTAATTAATGAAGCAGCAGCTGCTGCGAGGCGGACGAAATGGTGTTCAACTCCTCACTAACATCTCAGGTGCCCGATTTCCGGTTTAGATATAACGACTTATGGCCGCTTATCTCTGCCAGTCTTGCATCGTTGGGACCAGGTCACAGTCTTGTTGTGACTCAAAATCCTCCATCCTGGCATCCTGCCTCAACTCCAAGGGATCCACCGCCACAGCCGAAGCGTCTAGGTCTGTCCATTGACCCAGCGTATCACGACTTAGGTACACCACAATCGGCGGCTCAAGAATCTCATTTTGTCGTGATCCGAGCACCAAAATTGCGTTGGCGTCAGGCTCTGGCGCGGGAAAGAAGCGTACCGGTCGTGAGCGTGCGGACCGCGGCAGCACGACCCTACCCTGCGGACTCGAGACGGCCTCTCCTCTAGGCATTTCTCCCGCAGCTTTTCTGTCCTCCTCACTTATATGCAGCGGGATTCTGAACACCTTGAGCTCATGGCGGCTAAGCGAGACGAAAGCTGTCGAGCCGGTCCAAGTGACAGTAAAGGGTAGGGTGGACAGTGCCAGGGCTGGAAAGAGGCCCAGAGATATAACGTGACGTTTGGGCAATGTTTCTTGTCCTGGAAACCCCCTCCTTTTGATACTGAAACGGATAGTGATTGCTTCAAGCTGAATATGTGCTGTAGACTGCAACATCTTTGATCCCTGGTTTCCTCTGCCGTGCTTTGGGCGTTGGTTGGTGGAGAAGCGGAGGATGAAAAGATAACGGCCGCACTGAGAAAATTGACTATTAATGCTCATGACCTTCCCGTGGAGCTGATTTGAGTTCTTCTCTGCCTTTACTTTGTAGAGAGGGACCTTGTGGATGATGTATGTGTTATCCTCCATATCCGCGAGGAGGATGTTCGTGCCGTTGAGGGGTTATACCATCAAGGCAATGCTCGGATGGATGACAGGACTGGAATCGTATAGCAGATCCTCGCTAGTCTCATCCTTAAACCGAAAGACCACGTCGGAGGCACACTTGCCGCCGCCATTCAGTCTATCCTTCTCTACTGATAGATACAGACCGGGTTTGGCTGCGTTGATTGACAGGATATCGAGGTTAACGCGCCGGCGGTTTCGCCACGTCCTCTCCTGAGGTTGATGGGTTTTGTCGTTGCACCACTTTCCCTTCTCGAAACACTCTGGACAGATATCAAATGATGTATCATTACATCTCCAACATACGAGCCACGGCTTTAGCCAGTTCATCCATAGCTCGACATGTTCGAGGGAGTCCAGTCGACAAAAATCACATAAAACATGTATGGGACTTTCATTGACGATTGACGGGTGACCCGGAATCTCAACCTTATTGTCGGTATCAGAAAGGTCAGAGATGTTCGTAATCTGCGTCGTCTTGCAGAATTGGAGGCAAATCGTGAAAGCTGCTGTCTGACGAGTCTGACGAGGTGGGGGAGCGGCCCTTGTTCCTTCCACATCGCTCTCGGTCTCCGCGCCGTCGGCAGCCGCATTCTCTTGGCATGAGGCCGAGTCAGATAACTAGTCTTCCTCATCAGAGAGCGAAGATTCCTCCGAGGACGAGGTTGAATCTGAAGCAAGGAACTCGCAGGGCGACGAAATACCGTCCGTCTAGTCATCTTCTGGTATATACGAACCACAACCATCGGTGTTGCTGCTACTGAGATCGGATTCGTCCTTAGCTTTTCTTAGAGCTTTGCCGCTCGCCCAGACGACATTCTTCTTAGAATCAAACGGAGGCCGTACTAGCCTCCGCCGGCAGTGGACAGTGTATGGGGCCCGCACGCATATGTCTTCTGACAGAATTCGGAATTGTACCGTTGCGCCATATACAAAAGAGAGATCCCTCTACTGCATTTAGGTAGTTGTGGGTACATATAGTTTCCGTCATCTTCCCAATACGCGGTCTGCTGCTCTCGACCGTCAGTCATGTTATCGCTTGCCATGAGAGTCCAGTCCCCGCCTCTCTGTCGTCCGAACTCAGCAGACCCGATTCTGACAGATTTACCATACTGAACCGCAGAAACGGGAAAGCACTTCATGCTTGAACTGTGGGAGGGGATCAAGGGGAATGTTGTGGAGCGGGTTGGATTGTAAAGGTTCCAACTGATGATGGCTGGGTTCACGGTTAACGGAACCGGCTGGGAGTGATAGCGAACCGGCTTTCGCCTATTGCCTCTGATCATCCAGTCTTCACGATGAAGGCTTATGTATTTCCTATCTTGGTTGTTAAATGGTTACTGATGAATGCATGTTGAATACTGCAGGGAGTGTGCTGTTGTAAACTCACTCTTTCGTGGACTCGATCGTCCACACCGCCAGTCTTCTCCCATCCTCACTCACAATGTCGTAGCAACGGCGAGCTGACTTCGATGACCAATTGCTCGGTACAAGAAGGAAGCTGGGATTCACTTCCACGTCATGACGCGCGGAGAGGAAGTGAGCTGGTTCCAGAGCCCCGAAGAAACAGCGTTCAATCTCGCCATTCAAGTATGAGGTAGTGCCAAGCTGAAGCAGCCGGCCCCATTCGGCGACGAAGTGTTCGTACTGACGACAGAGGTCTTCACCTTCGCTACATCGGCGGAACCACTCAGGTATATTGCGCTTGGTCATTCGGCGGTCCGCCTGGGAGCCAGCATCTATGTTGTGAATGAAGTGGCCTGGCACAAAGAGGCTTTGAACCTAGATCATAGTGAGGAACTGGCGAGATCGCATGAAGTGCTTGAGCTCTTTGCAAATGTCGTCATTAGAGCCAAGATCATCGAAATGGCGATACCAGTACTTTGCTGCGTACTGTAAGAAGCCATGTGAGTCGACAGACGTTTGTGGGTTTGTGGAGGTGAAGAAGTCTGATGTCGGTCGCTTTTCCAAGACCTGGCCATATCGATCTTGGCTGAGATACCTCAGACAAGCGGCAGCAACGATCCTATTTTGAACCATATCTCGCAGTAGCAAAGCGCCACTATTTTGATTCTCTCCGGTAACTTCGGGCGGCCGCAAGAATTCAGCCACGGATGAATGCATCAAGCGAAAAAAGCCCTCTTCTGCGTTTTTTTGGCTTGGCACAAACTCAACGAGAGGCTGGCACCTGTGTTGAATCATCTCAAGAGGTATGAGTTTCCCTAGGTTGTTGCATCTTCCGTTTCTGAGGGCAAACCGGTCCGACAAAGCGATTGACAAGGCCTCCTGAAGTTCACGAGCAAATAGTGGGCGGCGGGCGAAAACTACTAGGGATAGGATGCCCCTATATAAGACCCGTTAGTTGCGGATAAGACTGAGGTAAAGCAAGATAGCAACACAGAATGGCGCGCGTAACTTACTTTGAAAGTTCTTTATTATTATCCTTTGTATCCAGTTTATCCTGGTCTTGGAGGTTTTCCAATAAGGCCTCATACTGCTCTTCCAAGCGCAATGGCAAGCCAATTATAGCTTGATGTACCAGATTTGCGTCTTCGTCGCACTTGTATAGACGCTCAAGACTGGTATAGGCCCAACGGAAGTTCGATACTGCCTTGACGAGGAAGCCTGTGTGCAGTAACATCTTATCAAGCGGCTCATCTAGCCGGTCCATGATGGTCTTGATTCCAGCTGTGGCATACCTGGAGACATCGATCGCAACCTTGGAAGTGTCCAAGGGTAGCTCTATTGCCTCAAAGCTTTTCATCCACGTGCACATAGGTTTTCTTTTGAGACTGCTGCACCACAGTCGAACTCTGCTTCGGGGAGACTGCGCTAGTTCTCGTATGAAGTTCAAGACCGTCTTAAGATTTTCTTGTAGATTCGCCATCCCCAAATTGCGGCCGCTCTGGGCACCTCGTTCAGCCCGTCAAAGAAGAATGACACCTGTGTACACTGGTTAACGAGGCTCTCCAATATTTTTTGCAGTCGCTCTATGTCATCCGTGATGTGTTTGTCTTTCAAAGGGTCCAGCGTAGCGAGTTCTACGCCATCGTTATTTAGGCGCATCACATGCTCTGTAAGCTGGAGCGCCATAGCTGAGTACATGTGACACTCAAGCATATCCCACTCTTTCGAGAGAAAAAGGTAGACGGTGGCCCCGCGAGTCTTCTTATCTCTCTGGACCATATCTTCGATGGCGGCGGAACAGAGCACGGTTTTTCCCGAGCCGCTTGGTGCCGTGACCCAAAGGAGACCGCCTCCTTTCCTCCATTCCTCAAAGGTGGCAGGTGTCTCAGGGCTTTGGAGAAACCAGTCACAAGTCCCTTTGAGGCGAGACTTGCGATTGCTTCGGTGACATCCCTCGTTCAGGATGCGACGCCCAGACCCTGCATCAGATCCTGCGCGTATCTCTAGCCACTTGGTCAGCTTCTCAATTTCCTGGGTTTTGAGCGAGGTGGCCGCCCGAATTCGCGTGATGAATCGTCTGTAGCCATCGTCATGGCTGCTGAAGCGGCCGATGCTTTCGTGCGTAACATGCCCTAGTTTAACAACCCGCTCGTGTTCCATATTGAGCAAGCCTGTTGTTCCCGGAACGGCCTGCATCATCTTATCAGCCGCAAATATATGGAATCGCACTTGTATATGCATCACTTGCGCTCCTCTTCCGACATCTGCTTTGCTTGCGCACGATGAGCTGATGTTGAACTTGCGTGTTATTCCTCTGAAGCCGCTAGTGAGCTCAGACAGCATGCTGCTCCAGAGCTTGTATCGTGTTCTGCCTTGTGGAGTGACGGTATTCGGTTCCGTAGGGAATCCTTCATTGCTAAGACCGTGGTGTGGTGTGTCAAGAAAGTAGATATGTCTCGTACGCTGGATGATGACCCCAAAACTCTCCTGATTGAGCTGACTATGGCACAAGGCCTTTTCCAAGCAGCTGCGCGTGAGCATGTATATGAGATACACCGGATACTTTAGCGGTGGACTTACACTCTTGATGACCAGACCGCCTACCCCACGACCGATGAAAGTAATGAATGAATTGGTCTGGAATACAGATCAGTCGAAAAAGCCTTACACATTCGGGCCTAATTTGAACGCGCCTTTTGGTTGGTGATGTCATCAACTATGTCTACGCATAGAGCCTCTGCGTGATTCAGGACCTTTCCTTCATCGCCTTGCTGCTGCACAGCGGACCTGTCTGGCAAATAGCCGAAGCACATGATCCGAGTTCTGGGCAGGTCCCTCCCAAGAAAGTCGGTAGGCCAGAATGAGTTGTCGTCGCCTTTCCAATCGGTTATGGAGCCACGATGGAGACCGTGTACCAAAACAATGCTGGGAAATTGCGTGAGGTCATCATGTACCATTACATTGAGGCCGCAGAGGTGCCATTTGACTTACTCGTGTTCATGGTCAGCCGGTAGGCTGTCGCCTCTTGGCCACACAGTATGGAGCCCTTCAAAGTCCTCCGCCTGGAGTTCCTTCCTACGTTGTTCTCTCTTGTACTCGTAGGGCCAAGAAGCTGTTCTTAAAGGAGGCATTTTCTGTACAACGGATGTGAAAAAGGTTACTTAAGTAGGCATGTGTCTGAAGAATACACAGTTGAGGCTTCTCATCTCTAAGTGAAGTCACAAACTCTTTTGACCAGAATAGCAAATCAGTTGGACTTATATTCCAAGTGAGATGTCAAAATCGTGGCAATAGAGGTGGTGAATGCATTTTCTCTTATGCTTAAAATTCGAGGCCAGGTGCATATCGTTCCCACGGGGACTTGGCATTATGCATTTAAGAAGCACTCCAGCAGATCATTCTACTCACAGCCTGCTTGAACATGCAGTTTCGAACCTGCAAGGTGTCTACGTTTTGCCTTGTTATCAATGCAACGTGTCCAATAAATCATCACGCGGACAACGATGTGTATCTCTTGGCCCGGCGGTCAGCTTACCATGGCGTGTTCGCGTTGTAACAGACTCTTTGATTCCCTGTTTCTGTCGTGAGTTATAAGACAATGGTTCACTAGCTGTGGCATGCTGATTCTAGTAGACACAGTTTCGGCCTCCCCGCAGTGCAGTCGTAAATAGGACAAGGAGTCGTCGTTTTTCCACCGGTAATCTGAACCAACACTTCGTACCTTAGCTGCCTCAATTCAAATTCACGCTGCAAAGCCTTCCATCTCGAACCCTCAGAACGCAACCGTGTCGGCCCAGCAGTCAAAAGAGGCTCAGGCGGAAAGTCAAGCAATTTCGACCCAAGGTGGGTTCGCCACACAAAATATACTCTAAGATTGCCAGCCGCACTAACAGCCTTCTCGACAGCATGGAGAGACCGGCCTGTTCCAGTTGTATCCACCACCAGATCTAGAGAATCCCTCGGCCACTCCCTTCGAGCCTGAAGTTGAGTTCGTTTTGTTCCATTAGAGAATACCCATGGATGAAGGCTGAAATCGCGTCCAGCGTGGTTTTTGTACACGGTCTTGGTGGAGATTACCTCGAGACTTGGAAGTCGAAGCTTGATGAGACAGTGTGGCCCAAAGACCTCCTTTCACAGCTTGGAAGGTTTCGAAAAGCTCGAATCTTCTCCTTTGATTATGATGCCACGGCTTTCTTGACCCCTTTCGAGAAGGAGACAAAGGGATCGACCTTCCAGTTTGCCGAGTCTCTGTTAGACACCCTGGCGGACTCTCGTCTTGGTCCTGCAGTGAGTGCTTGGCCCGGCCCGGCTGTGGTTGTCGCCGCGAGCAATTTACGCTGACAAGATAAGGCGAAAACCCGTCCAATTGTTTTTGTTGGACACTCACTCGGCGGCATTGTCATCAAAGCAGTACGCGAGATGCCATTCTTAGCGTGCAAAGAAGAAGCAGCTGATACTCATGCGCATAGGCTCTGAGACACGCAAAGCTGCTTTCAAGTCAGTTCGGTGACATCCTAAGCTACACCAAAGCGATAGTGTTCTTCGGTACGCCTCATCAAGGTGCAGACGCAGCAGCCTGGGCGGTGTTGCTGGGCGAGATTGGAAGCTGGGTGCGGCTGCGGAACACTGAGGTGGTTGAGGAGTTGAAGCGGTGGTCCGATCCCCTAGTCCAGCTGACCAGGCAATTCAAGGAGATCCCAAGCCTCTACGGGATCCATATCACGTCTTTCTACGAAACTCAGGCCACTGCAAGTCTGAAAGTGAGTGGCGATATTGTTCCATGTGTGTTGCTCTGCTAACACTTTCGGTAGGTCATCCATGAGGCCTCCGCCTGCATGAGCATCAGGCGCAACGTTTGCCCCACCGACGGACCCCAACATAGCAAGTACTAGTAGCAGCGGCCTGTCTCGCGAGGTGAGAGATAGAGTTGTTGCCACGCGAGATTGTATAAGGTATTCACGTGAAAGAGGCAGGATTCATGCCTGAAGGAAGGCTGACCAAGCGGCCACGTTATTGTTTTGCGACGATAGCTAGCACGAATTGAAGAACCGAAGGGTCAAGCGGGTGTCTACAAACCGTGGGTCAATGGCACCAAGGGCGGAAAACCTACGTAGTCAGACAGCTTGTGCTTGAACAGGGCTTAAAGCTGTTTGCATCACATAGGTAGGCTTACTTGTTTCGCTCGAGAACAAGATTTGTAAAGTCCACGAAGAAAGAAGCAAGGAGATCCTCACTGGTAGATATCTAGCGGGGATGGAAGGCAGTAATATGGTTCCATGTTATCATGACATTCAGCAAGGGTAGGTTTAAGCAAGGGCGATGGTATTGTCTAGCAAGCGAGAAAGGGCAATCCTGTTCATTAGCAAAGCCTTCAAATGCTATAGGGAGGAACATGGCTTCACGCATATTATCATGCGATACGACACTCATCGTATGCAGTCAGTACATCGCTATAACGCGCATTCTCACCGCAAGCGGATGGGTGCAACACGGGAGACTGGTTTGTCTCGACAGCTATATAAACCTGAGAAGGAACCTGCTCGGTTGGACTCCTTCCCACTTCCTTTTTCTTATCTATACTTAGTCTACTCGGGTCATTCTTTTCTCTTCACAGCAATGTCGAGTCAACTAGCGAACCAGCCTGAATACAGGCGGCTGCTCGTCGGTCATGTGAACAACGAACAAACGAAGGAGCGTAACATATTCTCTGATATTTGCGCCGTGTCTAGCCTTGAATTTCCTCACGAGTTAGAAGGCAACATCTTCCATGTGATGATTGAAAAAGAAGGCCGATCACATGCAGTCACAGCCAAAGCGACTAAAGACCAGCAACTTGGGAGAATCAGCCTCTCAAGCCTCCAACGAAAATGGTACTCCGTACTCGAAGATGAAGAGCTGATGTGCCATCAGTTCGTATCATCTCACTTTCTCGACCACGTGGAGATGAATGTCTCCTGGCCCCCGATAGAAGGTGCGAAACGGGCCGTTGGTCCTCTAGATTCTACGACTCTCACGGAGCTCACGAAAAAGGAACTACATGGACATGTGTTAGCCCGGAATCAACAGATCTTGCTTCGAATCGAGAAAGACCACATTAAGTATCCTATCGTTCTTCGAGTTGTCGACCTCAAAGCTTATGTGGTGGGCCAGACACGGCCAGAGCGGGAAGATCAGGACTTTCACCACGAGCACACGAATGGTCTCTTTTCACAGGAAACGATCAGTCGCTTTGTTTCGAACACGATAAAAATTGATGCATACGTGTCATTTCCAAAGGTCGAAGTGAATATACGAGACGATGTTCTTCCTGAAGAATTCGGCATTGGCGGCCTGGGCCCTGAGTTCCAGACGATCCTTCGACGCGCTCTAGCGTCACGTCAAATTCCAAAGACCGAATTCATGAAATTGGGCATCAAACACGTCCGTGGTATCCTTTTGCATGGTCCTTCGGGTACTGGTAAGACTTTGATTGCGCGCAAGATCAGTCAGATGCTTGGCGTCCACAAGCCAAAGATCATCAATGGCCCGGAAATCATGAATAGTTTTGTCGGCAAATCAGAAGAGAATATGCGGGATATTTTCGCGGAGGCGCAAGATGATGATATAAAACTCGGCATGGAAAGTAAGCTGCATCTCGTCATCTTTGACGAGCTGGATGCTATATGCAAATCAAGGGGCTCCGAAGGAGGTGGGGGCGCGCGAGTTAACGACAACATGGTCAACCAGCTATTAGCGATTCTCGATGGTGTTAATTAACTAGGAAATATCCTTGTGATTGGAACGACAAATCGTAGAGATATGATTAACGAGGCTCTTTTGAGGCCAGGCAGGCTGGAAGTCCTGGTTGAGATTGGTTTACCTGATCGTCTCGGCCGACTCGACATTCTCAAGATTCATACGCGCGACATGAATAGCCATGGATCATTAGCGGCTGACGTGTGTCTTGGAAGAATTGCAGGCATGACGGAAAATTACACCGGTGCCGAGATCACCGGCAACATCAACAGCGCAACGGCATACGCCATCGAACGCACGCGCAAACATCAGGGTCCGGTCACACTATTGCAGGATGATTTTGAGAGTGCAGTCAGTGAAGTTCTACCTGGTAACAGAGGGGAAATCTTTGAGATCGAGCGGGTTATCCAATGGGGTGTTTACCCTTTCGCATCCTGGATTTCTGACTTGCTGGAACATGGCCGCCGGATTGCAGACTGTTCAGGCAGACACCAAATTGTGATCTTCGTCTATTCTACTTCATGGTCCTCCTGGCTCGGGAATAAGTACTTTGGCAGTCAAAATGGCTGGCTTTTTGGGCTCTCGGTCCATGCATATGATCAGCCCGCATCACCTCGTTCACTGCGCGACAGACTCAGCAAAAATCGCGTACATAAACGGCATCTTTAAGAGAGCAGCTAGATCCAAGACCTCAACCATTATCCTCGACGATCTCACGGCGATCGTTAGCTGGAATAGTCTTGGTCCACAATACTCTCAGCTTGCTCACTATGCTCGAGGCGCACATACGAGCTGTGCTTCTAAAGGTGGCCCCCCTGTCTACAGACCCCGCTGCATGTACAGATGGGAGAAGAGGTACTAACCCGGACTTTTGGCCCAGGACCGTCGCAGGCTGCTCATTGCAACTACTTCCGACTACGAAGCGTGTAAATGTCTTGGGATTCAGAGAGCTTTCGACGATTCCTTCGAAGTTCGCCCCGTCGAAAATGTCCAGCAGCTTAAGGACATACTTCTTTACTTTGGCGCCTTCGAGCCATTATGTATCGACAAGATATGCTACTCCATTTTAGAAAGACGGGGTGAAAATGGAGTCATGGTCGGATTGAAGCATTTGCTGGTTTGCCTGGCCAAATTTGCCCGTGCTGCGCAGGGTACAATGCAACAGACCGAGGCTTTGACCACAGACGACGGGCCGCTTAGGGATGAAGGCAAGCCCAAAAAGGTAAGTGATCGGATTCGGGGGGATCTAACACTCAACGAGTCGAAATCCATCCAGGAAACTTTTGTGGACTGCTGTTGGAAAGAATGAAACGACACTCGGAATTCTCTCAACCATCTGCCCCTTTATCGGCCTATATGTAGCCTTTCTCAGTTGCATAAGCTTACGGACCCTCTCCGGTTCAGTATGATGTTGTTTTGCTGCATATTGTAGCGTCTTACAGCACGCTTTATATTAGCTTTTGTCTTCAAAGCTACTGCTTTTCCACGTTTCTGGATGCTTTGCCACCCAGATCGAGTTCATGGTTCCGAGCGAGATGTGGGACTCAGTCTTGAGGATCATAATTAGACATTGCCTAGATCTCGGACCCTTAGAAAGGTGATGCCTCTATGACATCTTGCTTGTTGAAGCCATTGCTTTGTTGCAAATCGAACAGCTAAAGAGTGCTCCTTGCCCGGCCGCTGTCGGGCTGGGAGCAGCGGCAATCGTAGCAAAGACTCTACCATGTGAGCAATCATTGTATATAATTGACTATCTATCGTATTATGAAATGATGAATGATCCAACGCCCTGAAAAGTTGGGCGGAATCTTGGAGCGTCAAAGACCTGAAACTAGACTTTCGCCCGCCTTTGGAAGTTGTATGCATGAAATTTTGGTCCAATATTGCCTCTTACGTACATGATGGATTTCAAGAACAAGAAGTCGAATTCTCTTAGCGCCTCTCTACGAGATGTGGCAAGAAATATTGCGATGTATAACAATCTTCTAACTCAACTCTACCTGACTGCTCTCTGTATTGCTTCCCTCAGAATAAACCTCGTATTCCATCGTACTAGTTGGCTCGCTAGTATGTCACTGAAAATCTCTAGTCTTTCTCAGGATCAGGTTTGGCATGATTTCCTTGGCGAGGGAGGACAGGTTATATATGGAAGGAAGCTCACATTTCTTCTTTGTTGAAGAGTCTAGGCACTCTTGGTCCATGAGCTTCCAAACCAAATGAACGCTGTTCATTTGTCTTTGTTGATCAGGTACGTTACCTTTCAGATCACAGTTACGCAGTTCAGGTATCCTTGTTGATCTATGCTCGTGGCCAGCCTTGTTGACCCCGGTGGCGACTAACGGTGTTTTCCTATCGTTAGGTAGTCGAATCAAAATTACGCTTTGATAGGAACATAGTTTACGGCGATATTCTGAACTTTTGCGGAGTTATTGTTGGGAAATACCCTGCTGGCGTCATGACGTCGGTGAGTCGATGAGGCTCAAGCAATAGGTCTCGTGCCTAGATGTAGACTCAACAGCGCAGCTTGGCTCTCTTGATCGAGCACTCCCGCGTTCGCCGCGTTTCCATCCAATTTGTCACCGCCGTGTTTTTTCGAGACATAGTCAGGAACAATCCAAATCATGACAATATGAGTACATGTAACCTCGACTGAGATTTTGTTAAGTGATCGCCTCGCCCTCAGATGCACTTGGTATTCCATTTGATTAATTACTTATGTTCTACTAACTTTCCTGTTGATTGAATCGTCAGGTCACCAGGAACTCTTAGACTTGTTCAGCGAAATCGTTGCCCACAACCCATCCCTCGCCTTATAAGCCAGTAACAAGTCTTCCTCACTCGGAACGATCCTTGGCGCGGTGAAACCTATCCGCCCCGGTGGGATACCTGTTGAACCTGAACCGCTTGAATTGTTATCTCTCTCACGTTAGGGAGGAGCCTGGACTCTGATGCTGATAGTGATGAGAATTATGGTCGGGCTATGAGCTTTGACAGTGTCGTCGGGGAGATGCCCCGCTGGCGCTATGACGTTGTTGAGGGCACAGAAGAGGCAGTATAGGTCATGCTGTGTTCGTGATATCGCCTTCTAGTTCAGGTTCGCCGTCCATCCTAACGTCGAATTCAGGAATCTTTCGAGGTACAATATGTGCGACGTAAGTTCGAAATGCGCAGAAGTATACGAACCGGGAGCGTACTGAGTGAAATACAACTCGGACTCTATCCACGCATCAAGTAGTTTCTGCGATACCCTCAGTACTTCTTTGGATTTAAGAAGAAATAGATTCCGCTCCGGGCGTCTATGAAAAAGACCCGATGTTAGTCGAAGTCGAAATTTACAGGCGATGTGAAGATATAGACGTACTCTAAGCGTAAGCGCTCTTCAGAAGATGAAGGATGCGCCATTAAGAAAAGATGTTCGGCTCCTGGATTGAAGTATCCTTGGTACTGCAACTCCATCAAGGAGATGGTGTCCGCTGCTAAATCTATCGTAGTTTGGCGAACGACATCGTCACCCCCATAACCGGTGGAGTCAGCCGAAGAAGACGAAATGTCTCCGTCGTCGGCTTCCGGAAACATTTCTTCGTCCCTTTTTGCTTGCTTTTTTGCTTGCCTTTCACTTTCCTCGTCTGAAAGCCAACCAATGAACTCGCTTCTGGCGTTGACTCTTATATCTTGGATGAGTTTAATCATTCTGCTTCCTCTGGCGTCGTCTTTTACCTGCTTCTCTAGTCGGTGCATCGCGCTGTCTCTGCCGCCGTGTCCTTCTTCCAACAAAAAGAGTCTCAGCAGGCCCATATATGGCGAATTTAGAAATGATAGATCTACACAGGGGGTAAGATAATTAACTTCCATGAATCTACAAGAAGATTAAGTCGATGGTCTCTTAACGCCAGCGCTTCTAACGATTCAATCAGCGAAGATAAGGGGGTCTTGACTGACTGACTGCTTCAATTTCCCCCCATTATCTGACTGATTGTTAGTTAACTGAATGATCTGAATCCTCTGATATATAATTGAAGCTATCACGAGATCTATAGACCTGTCAAGTTGGGATGTTGACGCAGGGTGAAAGCTCTCAGAGGCCAACTGCAGTTAGGGGTAGAATGATGAATTACTGAAATCTGCTCCTCCCTCGACGTGTACTCCCTGCGCTGTATATATATCTGAGCTGCTCCTTTGTTGCTTGGACTCCTTACTACCTCTAACTAGCCCCTATCCGGGAGGGCTCTGACAAGACCCCTCTAGTCACTGAACTTTAAATAGTATTCTACTAAGAGTAATAGAGCCGCTACGTAGCCAATTCTTTAGATATTGGATTTCTTCGAGTGTATTTGGTGCTATTGAGAGCCTCTGCGATGTCAGAGTTAACTTTGCTAAGCTAAAAGTCCTCTTATAATCTGTTATTATTATAGGGATAGTAAAGATATTGAGCGCGAGCTTGCTAAGTGTTGGAAAGGTATTGGAATGAGATCTCTACTATTGGATAGGATCAATGGTACTATTGGGTATAGTATATCTACTAGTCTAGCTTAGAAGAACTATTGTGAGATACCTCGAGGTTACGATCATTAACCCATTGATTAAATTCTGACTCTTCCTGTGGAACTGGACCTCTGTCCAATCTGCTGAAATCACCCTCTTGGCTCTGAGTTACTTCTGGAGGTGAGAATGGTCGAGTAGACTCCTCTGTGGCGTACTAACGTAGCCAGTAGTTAAGACATCCTTCGATTGGATTAACCACTCACGCTGCTCGGGCTCGACCCATCGCTTCTGGAGCCACCGCATTCCCTTTCTAGGGTGAAGAATCACGGCAGCAGCGTATAGACAAGAGTCTGCTAGCTTAGTGTAATGCCGATTAAGGACTTGCCACCCATTGGGCACCGAGATGCGGAAGTAACCTCTTGAGTCGAAGGACTGGATCCGAGACTGTCGGTCTTGAGGCTAGTACTCTGTATGTATATAGGGAGGGATGCGACAGAGGCTAAGCTGACTAACGAGTCTGCCTAGCCCCAGTAGCCCTTCGCCCTCGCCCGTAAGTTAAGAGATATATAAGGCCGTCAGGTCGATTACTTTGTCAGTAGGGACTATAAATAACCTCTTCCACTCCTCCAACTTATCCATAAGGAATTCCATGCTAGCTATAATCTCCCACAGCCTGCCGTGGCCGTCCCCACTGCCCCAGCCCTAACACCTTATAGTCTAAGAATAGAGAGGCTATAATACTGAGTTCAGCTTAACGAGGAGAAGCTAATCGTCGTCCTCTAGTACGTCCTCCACAGGAATTCGATGGTTGATGTTAGAATCCGTGTAGGTAAGAAGAATATACCCTTGGATCTTTTTCTTTTTTACCAGGGCCCGTTGGATCATAAGGTATATTAAATTCTACCTTATGTCGTTATTCAGCATCAACTTGAGCAAGGGTGTGGCAGAGGCTCGGCGAATCCTCGGCCGAGCCTTGGCTAGGTTAAAACTTTGATCTCACGATAGCCTCGTAAGATCGTTAAGCTTAAGTCTACGTACTATAGAGGCCCTACCTTCTATGTCTTTCCCAGCCACAGTACTTAGCTACATCCTTTTATACCGCGCGGTGTGGTTGGATATTAATAAACAATAATTTCTCGAAAACCTCTGCGATAGTCCCTACTTAATAAATAATTGGATACCTATTAGTGACACAGTCTCTCTGCTAGATCATGGATACTGGCAGAGGGGGTAAGACTGTGGCCTGACCGTGTAGGTACGAGTAGGAGAGTGCGAAATGAGCAAAGCGATTGAAGTACGCGTAGAAGAGCAAAGCGAAAGAGCAAGTGAACGTCAAAGGTAGGTCATGGGTGATGTGTATCTTCAAGGTTGACCCCCTTATGTTGATGATGATGATGATGATGTATTTAACGTCTGGTAACAAAAGGACGTGCCGGGCGCTATGCCGACATGGTCTATGCTAATCTAAACTATGTTACAGGCTACCGTCTTCACCTAACGTTCCTGTTCAATGACTCGGGCAAATTTTGGAAAAGAAATTGACCCCCTTATGTGGAGGGTCACGGTCAGACCGTCTTAAGTACAGAGGCCACGCTTATCACGTGACCGTAGCACTAAGTGTGCTGATAGGAAATGTCACAATTAGCATCAATTAATACGATCGTAACTCGTCTTTACCAATCCTTCTTACAAAACAGTGGGTCTTGCGGACCTTTTGATTAGTCGAGCGGCCGGAATATCCTTTTTCCGACAAGCCTTTAACTGTTTAGACGATTCGAATAACCGGCCTCCATTATCTGACTGATTGAATCGCGAATTGCCTCTCTTTTGACTGTTTGTTTGGCTGATTGAACTGATAGATCTGTTACGGTAGCTGCGCTGCTTAACGCTCTAGTTACTTACTCGACACAACAGAGTATATGATGCTTCGCAAAATCTTGAATTTTGCAGTTCGCCACTGACTTAAGGATTCCACATGCAATCCAGAGCCCTCTTTAGAGACCGGGTAGTCTTGCAGACAATTATTGAGTTTCTTGAGGCTTCTGTTCAGACTGTCGAGGTCGGGCTGGAGATGTGGGCTTGTGTCGGGGTCGGACGCTAGTATCATGGTGGTGAGTTCAAAGATAACGGTCAGTGTTCTCGCCATACGAAATAAACGACTCTTTCCTGTCAGATTTGCCTCTACAGCCTTCTTCTGTGTTAAGTTAGCCATAAGACGTGCCTCGAAGCCATCCTGGTCGATGATTGGTAACTCCATCTTGAGCAATATGAGACGAAGAAGGTCGCAAGATGATAATGATCGCGAGAATAGTAGGCAAGAGAAAAGCATATAAAAAGTCTTCACTGAACTCCTTCATTCAGACGTCTCAATACTCTCAACCAGTGAGTCTTCAAGTCACTGTAACGCTGTTCATGGATCTTTGTTGGTCTACACAGCCTGCCATGGCCAATCATGTTCACTCGAGAGCATACCACTCTGCCGACTCTGAACAAGAGAACAAAGGAGCCATTCTGGCCCTTTGCCGAGGATTTAACATTTTTCAGTTGTTTACCGCGAACTTATCATGACGCATGAAGGGAAGGCAGTAAGTGGAAAATGCAAGCAACGGAATAGCTCCAGAGATTCTGACGACTATGGAAAAGCAAAGACTGTCGTCGAGCGCGCAGATTTCAAGGATGGTATGATTCTGTTGGAATAGGCCTACATTAGGCAGCAGGAGGTTGCTGCCGCGGTCCGTTCCAGCCACGGTGGTCCGTGTGGCTCAGCCACACGAGGGTGGTATACCCCAGACTTCCTGCCGCCGCTGGCACCTGGTTAGACTTCCACAGAAGAACAACAAGAACAAGCAATATCACCACTACAGTCGGTGATCGTTGCTACCCACGATACTCGAGTATTTTCCTTTTCCACCTGTGAATCCAACAGATTCACAGTCTATTTGAAGTCTTGGTATCACCCTGTCCCGAATAGTTTAAGTTGTCTTGGGGAAGCAAGTGACGTCGCCAAAGCCAACGGCTTCAACCTAGTTAAATAAAATGAGAGTTCAAGGCCTAGGATTAAATGCCTGCCTGTGTATTAAGTAATACATATGCCGAGGTTGTTTTATTTCAGCCTCTCGGCCTCACACTCGCGTGAGAAAGGCAATTCACTGACTGCCATAGCAGCAATTGTACATTCGTCTCACTTTCCCCTTTCCCTCTAGATTTGAAAATCAGCCTCAAGTTTGGCAACCATTGCACATCTTGATTCGCTCAAAAGCGCGCTGCTTTCCCTCCCCGCATGCAAGTGGAATCGCCCGGCGTCTTTGCTCTCAGTGTTGTGTCTCTCGAGGGCAGATTTAATGTTGGTAATCGGTGTAATCAATGGTTGGCCCGGGTGCTGTCTACTCGCCCGCTCCTGCTCAATTTCGAGCCCAATCCTACTATTAATGGGAAACAATTTTGGCATGCAAATCTTTGAAACCTTCGGCCAACTCGGGATCATCAAAGAACAGATCCATCGCTCTGTCATAGAAGTCTCTAGATGTGATGCTGTGGAATTGTTAATGAAGAAGCAAGAGTGTGTTGGCAGTGGAGAAACCATCCCGTACCTCTTTCTCTAGTAGCAGTTTCATGAAAGGTCTGTACCTCAGGGGTTTATCAAGCATGACTTGTTTAACATAGTCCATAGCCTTTTGCATTTCAGGATCTTCATAATAACCTGTCGCAGTGAACAAGTGTCCCCCACCAATTTCGGCTTCATTGCCAACCGTTTCGTCTTGCTGACTGGTGTCCGAGGACTGGCTTTCTGTGTCCGAATCAGTTCTCGACGGGAGAGCTGCAAGGGAGATCTCTTCAAGATGAGTTCCGAAGTGATTTGAGAATAACGAGTTTGCCACAACCAGTGTTCTTTCGGCATAGCGGGCATTTAAATCCTTCCCATTCGGGCGAATAGTGTTCGAGAGAGAGATGTATGACCCAATCTACACGATTGCTGAAGACGGCCTTGTACCTACACGAGGGTTCTAGGCATTGCCAAGGCCTCAGATCGTCGTACAAGTGCCGTTTCCATTCCGTGATATTTTGCACCTTTATTTTCCTGTTGCATGCTATGCAGGAGAACTTCAAACCAGTCCTGGCCGAATGGGGCATGGGTGGCAAGCGTACTGCAGGCCCTTCATCGCCGTGGTATGAAATGAGGGTCTCAGCGTAAGATGAAGGAATGGATGACCCGAGGCCTGAATCTTGGAATTCAGAACTGGCAGCGTCTGAGTCCTTTGTCTGGTGCAACAGGACAGTTCCTTCCCGTAGAGCCCGGGAACTACTGTCCCTCTGCTCTTGTCCTCTCAAGAAACGCTCATAATTGGCCTTTCCGAGACTGTAATGAGACCTTCATCTGCTTTCGGAAATTGTTTGCTGATGAGTTGTTTGTAAGGTTCATGCGGCTCCCAATTGCTCGGAGACGATGCGAGTGATTGCCTAGTATCCCCGGCATCCAGGATGGGATCAGAGAACAAGCCGTCGAGGTCCATCAAACTTCTGGTGTCTGCTTCAAGATCTGCTGTGATTTGTGTGATATCGTCATCGCCATACTCGGATGATCCGGTCGAGGATTCACTCTTCGCTTGGTCGTCTTGAGCCGCCTGAATTATTTGCTGCAGCTGTTCCACCTTGTTCGTAAAGGCCTCTGAAAGTTGCGTCTTTCCTAAAAGACCCTTTGCCCAAGTTGATGCTGTGAGCCCTAAATTTTGGGCAGTAATGATCAGCTTGGATGTAACTAAGAACAGTTTCTTGAAGTTTTCTTCGGTAAAATTGAGACTTACTCTCAGTAAGAGTCAAACCTATACTACACAGAATTTCAAGCGTTGCACCTCGTAATCGACTAGATCGCTCGAAAACATCGTCGGAGGCTCCGCTAGAAATTCCGTAACCGTCTGACCAGAGCCGGAGCCTGTCAGAACTCCTCCCAAGACTAACAGCATATGACTGTGATCCTAGACTTCCCTTGACCCCGTCATTCAGACTTTTGTTGATGTCCTGAAAAACCGCAATCGTTCCTTCAGTAAGGCGTGCAAGGAGACTAGCACCCGCATGAGGATTTTCCCCGGCCGCCGCGTTAAGGAACAACCGAATGAGATAGTTTGTGTCAACGATTTCCTCATTCTTCATAGAATCCATGTTCTCGATCCAGACAAGGAGCTGTGAGAGAAGGCAGCGAGTAAGTTTGGAAATGCCAGGTCAGAGAGCGGGGTATTTCCAACAAAATCGCCAACCTGCGTCCTTGAGGCACATCGAAGCTCCAACCAATGAGCCGATAGCCTGGTTTTTCCATTTCGAGGTGGGAGAAAAGAACTCATACATACCAGCGGATCATGAACTGGAAGCTTTGAACGAGAGTGCCAATGGATCCATTCTCTCTGACTTTGGGTCTCTTGCCGTTGGTCGGCGGGGCAATGAAGGCATGCTCTGTCGTCCGCAAGAAATTCAAGACGTTTCGTCACTATTCACGAGAGCTCCGGCGCATCCAAAAGCAAGTTGACCGCCAATGGAACTTCTTCACGAATGAGATACACCTGCTGCTTCGACGGACTGTTGAGGATGAAGAGACAATCACATTGATGCTCGGGAATGAGAACACTCAACAATGGCACAGCAGTCAGATTGAGGAAGAGATGGAGAAGGCATTGGGAAAGGACTATGATGTCTGCCAAGGCGTGATGGAAGAGATTGCTTGCACGGCGCAAAGCTTTCAGGACGACTTTCGCTGCTTCGATGAGCTCACGGCTGAATGCTGACAGGCAAGTGGAGAGTGGTATAAATAATGTAATTAGTAGACGAGAGAACTGGCATGTCATCATAAATATAGGGCGAACGCCTCAAATATGCTGTGCGCCGCCTTCGCGGACGGGTGAAAACCACACTGGACGAGTCCAAGTTCGAGAAACACTTCCAAGATCTGCGGGCGTCCATCGAAGACCTCAAATGCATCCGAGAGCAAAGGAGCGAGCTGAAGCGGAATATGAATGAACTCACAGGAACGAAACCGCCTCGCGGGAAATTGAGTCAAGAATATGGGCATATCAGTCAAGTTAGAAGGGCATCGAGAGCCTTTCACGAAGCCCTCGTTGAAGCCTGGTCGACCCAAAGTGCTTCCGCGGAGGTACTCGACATGCGCCATACTGTTCGACTGTTCCTGGATACCACAGTCAAGGACGATGTTCAGATGCATGTAGCTATCTCTTGCATGGGTCATGAGTACGCTGATAGGTGAGTCCCATGCTCTTGCTGTTGGCGTAGTATGCTGAAGATTATAGGACTTCGGCGCCGGAAAGGCTGGCTAGAATTCTAGTACGATCGCAGATACGGACCTGGATCGACGCTGGAACTGACGACCCTACGTCCACTGCACCTGATCCAGACGGAAACCCCCGACAGAAACGAAGAAAGGTTCGCTTTTCGCAAGATGTACGAGAAGAGACCGGCCAAGAAGATGACGAGTCTGACGTAACGAGGGGTGTTCAAAATCATAAAGACCCTGCAGTCAACTTGTGCTCAAAGGGTCTATGCCCAGCCTTGAACAGCGTCTTCAACTTTGCCTCGGGAGGGGTTTGTGGTGAACAATGTCTAGGGTACATCGACAGCTCATCGCAAGATCCTTTCCGGCATTCGATTTACCCAGGATCCATGGACAGTCGCGGCCAAATCATGACCACGTCTCAAGCTTTGATGTCAATGAACGACGTGCTGATGACTCCCGCCGAGTCCACGCTTTCCATTATCGACCAACTCAAACTGGCTCGTGACATGGTCAGCGCAGTTCTCAAATTCTACTCGACGCCATGGCTGAGGGAGTACTTCACCCTGCGGGATATCTCTTTCTTTCAGATGAGCGGGGATTTTGCCAGGTGCCTGCGAACCCTCCATCTAGACTTTGACTTTGTACAGTCATCCGCAACAAGTTTACCACGGAGTATGGAGGGAATAGAGGCGACGACTATGCCGGACAGCAGCGACGGCAGCCCTGGAGAAGTAGAGACCGCTGCCGGGCGCGCGAAGTTGGAGTACGGTATACGTAACCTGACGCTTTGGAGCCTCGGCATCACCCTGCTTCAGATCGGACGGTGGTCGAGCCTAGAAGCCCCGGAAGACGTTCTCAGCGTTCGGAGGCTATCGCGACAGGTCCCTACATTGGGTCCGAAGTATAGGGACCTCACCAGGAAGTGTCTGGAGTGTGACTTTGGGTTCGGCGACGACTTGTTGAAGCCTCGGTTGCAGCAGGCTGTGTATGAGAGCGTGGTTTGCGAGTTGAGTGATATGATCAAGACCCTTGATGTCAGCGATGATTGAAGACGTTGGATAACTTCATGTTCCTAAGGTAGTTGGCACTTGGGCTGCGACTGGGTAGCACTAGTCATACTCTCAATACACAACCTGGAAGACCACGGAAATATGTCAGCTTGTCCACAGAAACCACCCGGCCCGGAGATCAAGACCTTCGATGTGTAGTTGAACAGGTCGGCCGACATTCTTTGTTGAAGCATCTCGAAACTTTGTCCATCTCGATGAATACTGAAACTGAAATAAAGCTGTTCATGGGTCTTTATGGGTCTACACAACCTGCCACGGATAACCTGTCTTGAACCCGGTGAGGTAGTGAACAGTCCTGCTGCCTCAATTTCCAAGAGGATAAAGGAGCCTCGAGATGAGGGATCGGTCAGGCAAATGTCTGTGGAATAGAAGACGACTCAACTAAATCTTATCCAAGGGTCAATTTCGAGACCAGTCAAGTCTATCCATGTCGTGAGAGTTTGATTCCGGGGTACATGGTGGCATGAAGGCAAGATGGTTGACGCAGCATTGGATTTGCATTTATTCATCTATTCTCCATTCATCCACACATGAAGTCTCTCTTGGATAGATCAAAAGAATAAGTCCTAGTCTAGCCCCGGCAACCACCCATGGGTATCCAACGAATTCAATCCCTCAAAATTAGGACTCGCCGTATCCTCAGACGACTGCCTCGGCGGTTGTGGCTGCGGCGGCGGCTGCATGCCTCCATTCCCGCTCGAAAACATAAACATTTGATCACTCGCCGGCATTCCGCCGCCGCCGCCGGGTTGAGATGCAGCCATATTCCACGCCTCAAAGTTCTGGTGCCACTTGGCGCCATCGTTGAGGAACCAGTCCTGATCCAGGCCCTGGAAGACTTGGCCGGGTGATAGTTGTTGCCGTGCGCTGCCGGGACCGGCGCGGAAACTCTGTGATGGCACGAGGTTGTTGTTCATTGGGGTGAACCGTTGTTGTTGCTGCTGGTATGTTGGTATTGACTGGGCGAGGCCGGCTTGGGACCAGCCGCCTAGGGAACTCGGCCCCATACCCATCCCGTTGTGAGCTTGATGAGAAGGCGGTCTCGCACCACTGATCTGCGCAAGAGACGCGCTCGCCATAAGAAGATCCGTAGGACTAGGCGCTACATCCTGCTCACCAGTCTGCGGTTGCGCAAACTGATTAAGCGGACTATACTGATCCGTCTTCCCCATCACTGGCGAAATAGGAACCTGCGTAGGCGAAGGCGACGACCCAACAGTAAGATTCGACCGCGGCGACGGCACATCCGACGTACTAAACGTCCCATACGTCTCATCCGACCTCCTCAACACGGCCTCCGCCTCCTCGGGCAACTCGACGTTCCACTTCCGCGCCAGCACGCTGATGATGCTCAGCGTGCGGCGCGCGCAGAGCCAGTCTTCGGCGATTTCCTCGAGGTGCTTCACGCCGTGGATGATGTCGCGCTTGGCTGTCTTCTCGGGGAGGTTGAGCATGTGGATCGTGCAGGCGCTGTGGACCATGTAGACTGCAATGTTGCAGATTTGCCGCAGGTTCCAGGTTTTCTTGTAGAGGCGCATGAGTTTGGAGATTGCGCCTGCGTTGGCGGTGCAGATGCGGCGTGGGGAGACGTGGGATGGGAGCGGGGAGGCTGCGGGTGTGTATTTTAGGAAGGGGCGGAAGAGGTGGATGTATTGGAGGTGGAAGAACATGCTGAGATGATGTTAGTATCGTGGGTTTGTTTGCTGAAGGGAGTGGGTGTTGGACTTACTGTACGAGGATCACGTTGGGGAGTTGCCCTTCCTTTGGTTCCAGTTCGTTTGGTAGTTCCTTTCGCCAGTCCTCCAGCCTTCGGTGAAGCTCACTTAGCTTCTTAAGTTCCACAGATTTCCCACTTGACCGGCCAATGTGGTTTGGATGATAAAAGAACAAGAGCAAATCGCTGCTGATTTCACACAGCTTAGAAAGCTGTAGCCCCACGGCTCGCGTCCTCGACGGCTGACTGCATGTCTGATCGAACCCGGCATCCGTATAAGGCGCCCACAACTCGGCGTCCTCAGAGGGAAAGACGTCGTACTTGGGCACGTTGTACGAACCCTTTGGTATCTGCGGCAGGCGGCCCAGATAGTTCGACCACGCCTTATCGAACAGGAAGCACCCCCAAAACGTCATCCGCCTCGCGTCAACAGCGTGCTCGCCGAGATTCTCCTTATCCGTGGACATGCCGCCGTCGTCAAAGTTGAGGCCGATATCCTGGGCCATGCGGAAGGCCATGCCCGAGTACACCCAACCTTTCGCCTCTCGCCCGCAGCCGGCCTCCCGGACGGACATGAGTGCCAGGGCTTGGACGGTGGTGAGTTTGGGCCGCTCGTACTCGTCGTTCTCGACAATGAGGCGCTTCGCCTCGGCGAAGAAGTGGTCGCCCTTTGTACGGCTGTCCCCCGGCGTTCCGTACGCCCCCGGCACGCTGGTGAAGTGGCAGCCGAGGGATAGCATGGCGTTGACTAGGAGTGGTGAGCAGTAAATGGTGCTTTTGTAGTTTAGTCCGTGCTTCCCTTTGAAGAAGTCGCGGTAGACCAGTGTTTTTGATAGTGTTGTGAAATATGTGTAGTGCCAGTTGAAGTACATGTTCATGAGGTGGGCGATGAGTTCCTTATCCTGCGTAACTCTTGTCCAGCTGGTGACGGGGTCCTCATTGGCGAGGTTCGTGTCGGACTCGGGCTCGTTTGTGTTGGCGTCGCCTGAGTCGCCGAGGTAGATGAGATGTGATGTGCCTCCGATGAAGCGTACTGAGCCGTTCTCGAGGCGTAGCTCGCCCATCTTGCGAGCGAGTTCCCTCTCACCCTCAATAGGCATGTCGATTGTGTAACCGTCGTCTCCATTGTCGTTGTCTTCGGCTTCCTGGAGCATAGTCTCATGCTTCAAGATCTGTTCAGCGACAGTGTCGAGACTGTCGCAGGTCCTGATTCTCTTCACAATGTCAGGGACCTCATCCTCGTTGGCGTTGAGGATGGCCTCGATGAGAATCTGTAGTGTCGAGTTGCGCGCCTTCATGCTATCGACCTTTTCCTTGTAGACGCCCTTGCGGCGGTGGTCCGAGTTCGGGTCATAGACGCACTCGGTGCCGTAGACGCTGGCGCACGCAGCGCAGCTGGGCACGGCTCCGTCGCATTTCGATTTCCTCCGGCGGCAGGCGATACATGCTGTGCTCACGCAGCGCCGCTTCTGTGACGCCGATTCGCCTCCTCTGCGCGACGACTTCTTCTTGGTCGCCGGTGGTTGTGGTGCGGACGACGACGATGATGGTTGTTCCGGGGGATTGGTCAGGGAGCCGCCGGATGTGGACGACAGGAGAAGATCTTGATCGTCCATCTTCTTTCCAAGACACGTCTCTGGCTGCCGAGTTCCGACTAATCAGATGATGGTGACGCACTAGAAAGGGTGAGCGACCGGAGATGCTGAGTTCAACTTTGATGCAGTGCGCGGAGATGTGGAAATCTGATGGGGACAGCGAGTCCCCGGACGGGGTGGATGCGACGGCGGCAGCAAGCTGAAGCGACAGCCCAGGGTCCCCACCAGGAGCAATAAGAATCAAAGGCTGCAAGACAGCGATACCCGATGTCGATAGAGGGGTGGTTCGCGGGCTGCGGGCGTCTCACTCCTCCGTTGATGTTGAAGGTACCCTGTCGTTGAGATAAAGAAGCGGCAGGCGATTGGGCGTGTAGAGCATGCGGGTTGGCGCGACGTCTGATAACGACCCAAGGGAGTTGAGAATGGCGGCTTGGCTTCAATGACGATATACTTAAAGACTGGCGGACTGCCCCTATCTCTGCCGTTGTTGAGTAGATGTGTGCTCTTCACGATATTGCAGCCTCGGTTTAGCCTTGAGCCGGTGATTATGAAGGATTTATGAGTTGTCTGGTACAAAGTCATCAGAATGTGAGATTTATCTCATTCAATGAGAGGATGAATGAGAATAACGGTTGGGTAAGGAACTAGGCACATGTCTTGGAGTAAGGGTGACTTGAGCGCATCTCAGTCGCGGACTGCTCGGGGAGACTAATGGCAGCATTGCATATGTATGTGCATTGGCTACTTGCATATTACGTACCAGAAAACACCAGGCTTGAGGCGGCTTATGCGTGAAGTGAGGTGTTGGCTAAAAGCCTCAACTCGTTAAGGAACGCTGAAGAGTCAAGGAGGGGCAATTGGACGGCTCGAGAGGGGCCGAAGCGGATGAGTAAGTTCGCGCCGGCGCCGGTGGGAGGAGTACCGCAGCTTCTGTCGTTGTCCCGAGTCTCTGGAAAGCGTGATGAGAAATCCAAACTGTTTGACTCGACGGCTGTGACCGGAATGCACAAAGGTTGGCTGGGGCTAACTTGGGGTGCGGCGAGCCGATAGACGATTACGGTGGTGGAGAGGTAGATCCGGCATAGGCACGTTTGTTCCGGCGCAATGTGGAATCAGATCCCGGGTTGCTGCGTGAGGCCGCCGGTGTAGGGTAAGGTTGCCGAGTAAAAGATGATGCCTGCCTTTTCGTTTGACTGTGGCACTGCTTGATAGTCTCAACAGGGCCCAGCTGATAACTCTCTTCTGCGTGCCTGTAGCTCAAGAAAATGAGCAATTGAGAAAAACCTGGAAAAGAGTTTTGCTGACAAGACGCATTCTGGCTGCTGGAGACGACTCGAATACCTCCGCGGCCCGCAACTCCACGAATTGGGAGGCGAGCCGGGAGGAAGGCAACATCCTAGTTGTCGTGTAATGCGACTGGCATAGTGGGGTTTCCACTACCTAAGGTAGAGTCTAGACGTATGGTAAGGTAGTTTGTATGTAGTGTAGGTATTTATAGCAGCAACAACCACTAAGTTCTATGAACCTAAGCTGGAGGCGTAAAGATTTGTTGCAAGATGGAAGGAATTTTCCCATCATATGCTCATATAAGAGATATGCTCCAGGTCTCGAATCGCTCATCTTGAAGTGTTCTAGATGAACCGTGGGAATGACAACCATTGAGTGTCACTCACTATTCCATCCGAGGGACACAATTCTCACACATACAATGAGACCAGTCTTCAGTGTAATGAGATCATTGGAAGTCAAGAAAGCCTTGAGACTCAGAGAAGACTCGGACATATTTCTTAGCAGGTCATTCAATACAAATATTCTCAACGAAGCAACTGAGAGACATGGTGCTCTTCTCTTCTCCCTGCAGAGATCCGCTAGCGCATGAAATTTAAAGTCTCGCTAAATCTGTGTACGTGCCATTGCACCCCACCAACCCTCTTCCCCCACCTTCAGTCTGATCTGTGCGCGCGGGGCATCCCCGGCCACGGAACGGCCCTCACTGTTGAAGAACCTACTCCCGATACTCCGTACCTTGGTCCGAGTACCCACCTGGCTTCCGGCTCTGACGTTCTTCAATAGGCTCCGGGTTATCAAGTTCTTTGATCTCGGAACTGGTTCTAAGATATTCTATCGAGAAACCTCCTAAGCGCCACAGTCATCCACTACCATAAGGAGTCACGGATTGGTGGTTCTTTGCCCAAACGGAACTCGAGAAACCTTGGCCTGGAGCTATGGCCATTGCCCGCAAACGCCATACCTGAGTCGTAGCTTACATCAAAGTGCAAATGCGGCGACCCAATGGCCGAAGCCCTTACCATAATAGAGGTCGCCCTCTGCATCACCGAAGTCGTCGAACGCCTCTGCAAATACGTCTCGGCAGTCAAATCCGCCAAAGATGACATCCGCAAGCTCACCCAGGAGCTCCTCGCCCTCAAAGGCGCAATGGTCCACTTCCACGTCCAAAATGAGCGTGGCCCGGATAATCCGCTACATGAGCAGGCCCGCGCCATGCTCAAAATGACCCAGGAGACCCTCGACGCCATACGAAAGAAGCTCGGCACGCCAAAGACGTCGTCCCTGGGCCGCGCCGTCCAGGGTCTGGCCTGGCCTTTTCGACAGGGCGATATTGAGACGTGTTTTGCTACCATTGAGAGGGCTAAGACGTGGTTCATTATGGCCCTTATGAGGGATTCGCTTGATACTACCGCGTCTGTTCTCTCCGAGATGCAGAAGCTGACGGCGCTTGTCCATGAGGACATTGTTGCGCGCAAGACGGATCGGATGCTTGAAGAGACGGCTGATTTGCTCCAGTGGCTTTCGCCCGTCGACAGCGAGGACAAGCTTGTCAGTTCTAGGCAAGATCACGCGCCTGGTACGGGTAGATGGATACTCGATATTAATTTCCTGGAATGGCAAAGGACAAGTCAGACGAAGCGGCCAGTCTTCTGGATCACCGGGAGGTGTGAGTCAATTCAGCCATATGCATAGCCTACGTGGAACCTGACTGACGCATGGAACAGCGGGATCGGGTAAGACGGTGCTATTGTAAGGACGTTCCTGACTCTGAAGTTTTCTTGCGGTACTGACCGATATAAGCTCACAACTCGTCGAAGACCTGAGAACATATCCCAGCGACGAGGTCTCGGAGGAGAGCGACAACATAGGCGTTGGTTTCCACTGCTGCTCCTTGGACGATGCGGCATCTCAAGCTGTTCCGAATGTCTTTGGCTCCATTCTGGCCCAGATAGGAGCGACGAACCCCAGCATCCTTGACCATGTCCGGCCGCTGAGAAAATCCGGCAACTCCCTCATCCCGCAGAACAACTTGACTGTGGAGCAGATCTACGACGTGATGGGTGAAGCTCTCGAGCTATATGACATCTTTTACCTCATGATTGACGCTCTCAACGAGACTAGCCACGAATCTGTCATTGTCCAGGCCCTTCTGCACCTTTGCTCCAAGCACCCCAACCTACGGGTCTTGGTTACGTGTACGCGAGAGCCGGTGCAGCCCGATCCCAGCATTTACGTTCGGCATATGAGTACACGGTCCATTGATAGTGATATTGAGGTGTATGTGGAGAACCGGCTTTCTACCGAGCACAGCTTCCAGTCCCTGAGCGACAAGATACGAGCCGAGATCAAAGACAAAGTCGTGTCAGAGGCGGATGGGACGTGAGTATCCTAAGCATACTCCCACGTGATCAACTACTCACAATGCTGCAGATTCCGATGGGCCAAGTTGTGCATGGATAGGCTTAGCACGCTTCGTACCGGAAGAGATGTGCGACGAGTTCTGGTCGATATCCCGTCCACACTCAACGGCTTCTACGCCGGCATCCTCACCCGTGTACCGGACCAAGACCGCATCATCGCTCGCGAGACCCTCGCCTGGCTCTGCTTCTCTCTCCGACCGCTTCGGCTCAAGGAGCTCGCCGAAGCCATCGTCCTCGAAGATGACGACGCGGACATGGACGACGACAGCCGACTCACCGACCCCTCTGTCATTCTCGAAATCTGCCAGGATCTAGCCCACGCACGAGACCACTACGTCACGCTCGCCCCCGACTCCATCCGCACTTTCCTGTAATCAAATGGAGTCGTACCTCGAGTGCCTCGGAGTATGCGCTGGACGCAGACGCCTGCTATCAAAGAATCATGCGCAAGTGCCTCACCTACCTCAAACTCTAGCGTTTCGCTTCAGGACCCGTGAGCAAGAAACGGTACATAGACGCCAGATTCGCAGCGTATCCGCTCCTCAACTACGCCACAGATATGTGGCCCATCCACTCCGAGCGCTTCCCCCTCGCGGACGAAGACGAGAAGCTCATCCTGGACTACTTCTTCGACACCAAGAAGCAGTCTCACGGCGGGCCCTTTGAGGCGTGGGTGCAGTTCGTCCTGCGCACGGCGGATCTAGACGCCATCCGGGACACGGAGCCGCTCTACTACGCCGCGTCGTTCAATATGACGTCCGCCCTGCAGTCGATGCTGAGACCAGAGTACAACGTTGACGTCAATAAGAGAGGTGGACGGTTCTCTTCACCCCCGCTGTTCGTGGCACTCTGGAGGGATAATATCGAGGCTGCCATGTTGCTGGTCAAGGCCGGGGCGGATCCGGATATGCGGGATACGAGCGGGCAGACTAGTCGGCGTTTGGCCAAGAGTCGAAAGCACCACGGTGTTGTCAAGCTCATAAATGAGATGATTCCGGTTGAGGCTCTGGATAAGCGGGCGTCGAGCTATGCTCCCGCACAAGCGAGACTGAGAAGCTATAGAGATGGAGAGTCCTAGGAGACTTGATACCATGGGAAAATCGCCCCCTGCCAGGATTCGTTGATTATTGAACAAAGACAACCTGAGATTTCCTAGCAAGAATGAATCGGTCTTTCCAACGCATTTCAAGGTTCTGAACAGTCCTTCCAAGCCACACTCTTTCAGCTGGAACAGTGTTCATTAGGCATGTGGTATAAGTGTTTGGACAAGGGTATCCACCTATGATTGGGGGGCCACATCTTGGGGACCGGGAATATCAGAAGACTTGATGAGAGGTGGTGATGCAATGTGGTGGTGAAAGGCGACGCACCGCCACACCGAAGCCGGTGGAAGGTGAGAGGTGCTTAAAGGTGGAGACACAAGATCAATGCCGTTTTTGTGGCGGTGTTCTGTACAATGCACCTCAAGATTACTAAGCCCGGAACCAATCACCCCCACGTCACGTCTTCACCGGTAAAGAGGGAAGGAAGCACAAGCAAGGAATGTACCTCCCCCGGCCCAAGCAACACAGCGCTAAGGGACCGACGTGACGGGTGCGCTTCCACTCTGTTTCTTCGCCTGCACACCTTCTGGCGGTCACTGTCCACTGTATCATCTAGAGCTTGAGCAGTGCCTCTTTTTTTGTGACCCCAACAACCTCACCCAACACCCTCACATTTCTCCCCTACCACCTTTCCTTTTGCCTTTTTCTTTTTCTCCTTTCGACTTTCTCTGCAGCAGCTGCAGCAATCGGTCATCCGTTCACTTTCGTGATTTTTGGAGATATGCACATGCTCCATTATTTGGCTTAGCTCAGGTACGTCTTCCTGGTTCCTCCAGCTCCATCTCCCACCACCCCCAAAGCGGAAGCCGGTCACAGACCCGAATTACATACCAAAGACAGAATCTACAGCGCGTACCTCTCACATCTGCTCTCTACTGGTTATACCTTTTAGTTTTTCCATAAGCTCATGCAGGCTTTGGTACTGACCTTGTTCACACCAGGCTTTCCATACTCAGCGCTGCTCTCGCCTTCCAGGTACTTGCCGACCTAAGAATACAACGCTGTCCTACCGCACCTTCCGTTCTCCACCGATAACGACCCCAACATCAGTTCGGCTGACATTCTGCGCTCTACACCAATACCAACCTTGGATTGCGCCTGCCCCAGCTTTAGGCATTTTCTCAAAAGCCTTCTTCTCACCTTGCCCCTGGTCTCAGGTTGTCGTCAATAAACAGTCGAAGGTGCGCAAGAGCTTCAGCGCCAGTCACTCTACTACAGCGAGACTCTTGCCCATACCCAAGCTTCCGCCACCCCAAAACAACTTCCCAAATCATTCAGTCTGGCGTTCAGAGTTCTGCGCGCTGCCGGCCTTGCTGTTGGCCTTGGTCTAACAGCCCTCGCTGCCTACAATAGCAACCAGGCCGAGATGGACTCCCACGCTTCAAGAGGCGGGCACCTGGTTGCCACAGATGGCCGAGAGGTGGTTTACTGTCACGCCTGCTCCCATGAGTGGTGGCAAGATGAGCATGGTCTGCAGTGCCCTCGCTGCGAAAGTGAGATTACAGAGATTGTACGATACATGGCTTCTACCCCCCCCCTCCTGCCACATTTGCTGACATACTCCCAGGTTTCTCCCGAGAACGACCCCAGAGAGATCGAGGACGGTCCTCCGCTGCACGATCCCCCAAGACTCAGACGCCACATCTACGACGACGATTCGGATCCTGAAGAGGCCGATATAGAGGAGCATCTGCATCGCGGCCCAGGTGGATTCGTTGTACACCGAGCAATATGGGATAATTCTCAGCGCCAGGGACAGAGCCCTAACCCAAACACGCGCCAACCCCCCGATGTCAACGACGGCGACCAGATCATCCGGCGCTTCATCGATATGGTGAACGACTTCGGCATGGGCATGCCACCGCGGCCTCCTGACGAGACTCGCCCTGCTGGCTTTGGCGCTGGTGGAGGAAACATCTTTGGCGGCCAGGGCAATGTTCGCACATTCCAGAGAACAGGCCCGGGAGGCACCACGAGCTTCACCATCGCCACTGGGCCTATCCACGTTCGCCAGGGAGGAGCCAACTCGCCTGTTGGGGCTGGAGGCGACCCCTTCCAGTCGTACGTTGGCCTTGTCCCCCGCGGCCAGCCACCCTCTGGACCTCGAATCACAGTCGTTTCCATTAGAGCGAATGCTGACCAACTTCCTAGTATCTTCAGCAGCGTCCTAGCTGGAGCAGGCCCCCCTCAACCGGCCGGAGGAGGACCAGGTCAGGGACAGCGCGCGCCCGGTGGAGCGCCTACACTTCTTCATGAGATTCTCAACATGCTCAACCCAGCCAACGCCTCGCACGGCGATGCTGTGTACACCCAGGAGGCCCTGGACCGCATCATTTCTCAGTTGATGGAGCAGAACCCGGCATCCAATGCGGCACCCCCCGCGACCGAAGACGCGCTCAGCAAGCTCCAGCGTAAAAAGGTCGACAAGGAGATGCTTGGCCCCGAGGGCAAGGCCGAATGCACAATCTGCATTGACGATTTCAATGTGGGCGATGATGCCACGGTGCTGCCCTGTAAGCATTGGTTCCACGACCAGTGCGTCGTCATGTGGTTGAAGGAGCACAACACTTGCCCGATCTGCCGTACGCCAATCGAAGAGCCCAGCAGTAGCAGCAGCAACAATAACAGCAACGCCAATGCGAGCGGTTCAAACAACGGCGGAAACGATAACAACCCTTCGCAACCCCGTCCTAGAGCCGCAGGAGCGTCTGGCTCGCCAGACAGCCATCAACCACCCCAGTACTGGCCCGGTAGTGACCCGGGCCACTGGGCAAACTCGATGAGAGCAGTGCCCCCTCGATCGGGTTATATGGACGCAACCCCTCCGGTACCTGCCGACTCCACGAGACCCCAGTCATCCTTCGTCGACGAACTCTATGGACGCTACGGGGTCGCCAGCACCGGTCGCAGTGACCCGCAACGTCCACAGGAGACGAGTCGAATGCCTAGCTTCCGATCGGCTAGACGAGACTCTCATTCGCCTCCCAGCCTTCGCCGACACCAGTCCGATGTGTTTCGGGCTAGGCAGCGAAGTCCCTCGTCTGGTAACTGGGACAGAGGCCAGGAGAGCAACCAGGAGAACAACCAGGACGCAGGATCCAATCATGGTCCTCTCAATTGGCTGAGAAACCAGTTTTCTCGAGGATCGGGATCGGGAGACAGTAACCCGCACGAGAGACGGAGACAGTGAGCTTGTGGGATTGATTAATGGAATGAATCGGATCTGGGTGGCTTGCCAGTGAAAGATTTGAGCGAGCCACACGGTTTCAACGTGGCCGGGAGGCATATCACGAATTACGACGAGGGTCGACGGCGTTTAGCATTGGTCATTGAGACCGTTACTTTTTCTTGAGCTCGACCACGCCGCCGTGGGTCGGACTTGTTATGGCCCGCAGGGCGTCTTCTGTAAATACTTGGGACCTTGTCACAGGAAAACAGACAGGCATCCTCCATTTGGTGGCGAGGGTTAGGCAGGATAAAATCTCCGTACTGCAGTCAAGGCGTGATAATCTGAAGCCTTCGTCCCAATGTGAAATGCATGTGTGTCGGTGTGTTCTAGAGTGTGCGGCTTATAGCGAAGTTGAGATCCAAGTTGCTAAGTGTGATGAGTATGGAGAATGAATCGCAAAACCAGATCTCACTCCAGCTTACTGAAGGCCATCCTCCCCTAGACTCTTCAGGGATCACTGTGAAAGCACACGACGACAGTTAACCCCAGGTAGAAGAGAGTTGCGTACGTTTCTGCTGCAAAAAGATTGCTCTTGAGGTAGAATAGAGATGTGTATACGCCCCATACACCGGTTCAAACAAATAGCCGTCGTTACTTCCATACAAATACACATTACCAGGTACTTGAAAGGGCCAAGGGAAGAAGCGAAGGGCTCAACACACGCAACACATGATGCGGCCGTAGCCGTAGTCGTATGCAGTGTCCTGCTTCACCTTCCCCCCCGCACCTTTCGAACGCAGTCGCTCCTTTTCATCATTGCCTTCATCTCATATGCCCCCCTATCCCTCACACCCACGACATACAAACACTGCACATCTTTATCTTCTCTTCACATTCCTCACCAAAAACGCACCCACCACACCCGCCGCAACAGCCACACCGCTGATAATCGCGACGCCCATGAGGCCTTCCTTGGCGACCTTGTCGTCGACGAGCTGGCGCAGGTTCGAGGCCTGGAGGTTGGCGGGTTCCTTTTCGAGGAGGAGGTCGTTGTAGCGGCGGGCCTCGCCGTAGTTTCCGAGCTTGTAGTTGCCGAGGGCGAGGTAGAAGAGGCACTCGCGGCGGCGCTCGGGGGAGACGCGGAAAATTTCGGAGAGGAGGCGGACGCCTAGTTGTTGGTCGTTGCGGGAGTCTGATTTTACGAGGCCCTATAAGGTGTACGAGGTCAGAAATGTTCAGGAAACGCGGAAGACGGGGGGATGGGGGGCATGGGCATAAGGGCGTCGGCGTGCGAGGAAGCAGGAGGACGGGGGAAGGTTGTCTTACCCATGCGTAGTTGAACTTGGTTTGGACGCCGACCATGTCGCCTTCCTTTTCATACTGGGCGCGGAGGACCTGGAGCTCGGATGCCTTGAGGGGCCTGCGGTGCGAGAGGGGCTTTTGTTAGTTCATGATGCCGTTGCATGATCGGGTGTCGCGGGGACGGAAGATGTGCTTGAAGATGAGGAGAAGGAGAGTGGGAACGTACGTTTCCGCGTCGAGGGCGTCTGCGCAGATGGTCAGTCATGTGGCTTCTTCGCGAATCTTTACAGCGACATCGTGTTGCAGTATTTGGTAGAGGCGGGGTGGAGAGGGCGACTTACAAGGTAGATCGACCATGGTTGCGATGATGCGGTTGACTCGTGGCTATGGAAGTGTTCGGGTGTATTTTGCTTTGTTTTGACGATCGTACAACAAGGCGGAATATCTGCTGAGAATTCGCAGCAGATATCGTGAGTTTCGATAAAGTGGAAGTTCGACAACAGCTGTCACAATTCAAGGTATGACAGGGCTGAGGATGCCAAAGCGTTCAAGATGCTGAATGCAGAATAGAGAAAAAGGCGTGGCTACAGCTGGGAGAACAAGAACCGGAAGAGTGGCTGAAGCTCTGACAGTTGAAGATCCGTGGGGACTCTGCGATTGGGGAGTGCGGGGCCACCCGGGGGGCCCGGCGACGAAGGCGGCGTCATGTGTGGCGGATGACGATTTTTTGGAGACAGCTGAGGTGGGGCTGTTGAGTCTGTGACCGGGGTCAGTCTGTGAGAGTGACTTAGTCATCACTAATTGTCGTCCGGGTGATTGCCTTGCGATAAGATAAGCCCTGCTGACAGTTTTTGTTTGGGGGATTTCCGTATTGGCTTTGGGCTGGTCGTTTTGCCTCGCCATTGCACGGTTTCTAGTCGCATCCATTCATCAACCCAAGTCAATCAATTAACGACACCAACACCACGAAAACAACGCGACATCACGACTATACCGCCGTGCACACACACATCAATCTATCCACATACACAATCTTTCACCGAGACTACTCAGAAGAATCAGACAAGATGCTTTTAGCAGAGGAGCCCGCGACGGTATGTCCCCCCTCCATTCCCATCATCCCGCATTGTTGACAGCACCTTCTGTCTATTGGGAAAGCGGTCGCTAACAAGAGACATTCTTCGCGCCAACAGCTCATCTCGCACACAATCGACAACTTCAACATCCAACCAGACAGACAAGCCATCGCCCGCATCAATGAATCCCTCTCCACCCTCCAGCAGGCCCGCGAGCTGCGCCTGCGCGAGGCAGAGAATGCCCTCAAGAGTACGTCCCCGTCACCATCCTCCATCTCCTCCAGAACAGACGATAGTCGCGACATATTCTACCCCGAAAAGACCACCTACTTCTTCACCAGCTATATCTACAAGGCAACTAACATTCCCCCCACAGAACTCTCCCGCCAACTAAACACAATGACATCCCAACACGCAGAACTAACCTCAACCCACTCCTCCACCGCCCACGCCTCCGAAATAGCCCGCCTCGACACCACAAAATTCCGCACCGCCAAAGCCGCCTCGGACACAGAAATGGAAGCAGAGCGCCTGGCCCAACAAGCAGCCGACCTCAACGCCCGCCTGCAAGAGCTCGAGATCCAAGGGCTCGACGGCTCCGCCGACGACCAGGCGCGCCGCCGCGACCCCGTCGACGATGAGGTGCTGCTGCGGCTGAAAGTGTACCGCAGCCTGGGTATCGAGATTGAGCGCGATGGCAAGGATGGTACGGGGGAATTTACGCGCGCTGTTGTGAGGAATGATCGCAAGGGTGATGTGCATGTCGTGAATATGGATAAAAAGTTTTCAAAGTTCTTTTATGCCAATTACTTTTGGCAGACTTTGTAACCGGGGATTAGGGGAGGGGAGGGGAGGGGGGGGTTTATTGCTGTTTTGGGTTTAATGACGGCGTTTGGAGGACTCATGATAGGATACCACGTCTTGAATGGACACTTTTTCTTCACGATTCGACGTATTATGAACATGTCACATCTCTCTGAGTATTATGGCATTTTCCCTCGCAAAACTATGATATCGAAGCAGATGTGGCGTTTTCTCCCTGGGTTTCAGGGCGCAAAAGATTGAGCTGGACGGAGTATGGCTTTCAAGGGAAATCACACGATTCAACAAACATGATTCAACTGCACGGTACTCACGGCATGCCCGATACTCGCGCCCAACCCAACATATTCATCTTATCCAACAACAAAAAAACACGATGCAAGGAATTGAAGTGGATGATTCTTAATTGTTGATTCAATGATCGTCCGCTTGGACTGTGATTGAGATGTGATACAGCCAAACGCCTACTGATTCCCAGTTCCAGTCCATGATCCTGTCCGTTCGTAGCCTCGCCGGGCCAAATTTCCATTCCTTGCCTGAGACTGTCCCGTCGTAGAGGATATCCCGATTGTACCTGACCTTCCTCCCATTGCCCGATCCAGGGGCTCAACCCTTGCCCTGTATACCGGCTTTAGACAAAGGAAAATGATTCACACAACTCTCTTACACCGCCCACTTTCAAGGGCATCCTTTTTCTCGTCAACTTCGTGGCGGGAGAGTCGATATAAACCATGGTTTTCTCTTCCCACATCCATTAATGATAACTTTTCGTCATCCGCCAGCAGGTGTCATTCCTCTCACGCCACGGCAACCTTTCTCACAGACTTGGTTGATAATGATGGAAAGTAGTCGCCATCGACACCGTCGAGTGCTGTGAAGGCGATATGCGTGTTGGTCGGTGTCCTTGTCCTTGAGCTGTTGGGCGACACAATCGCAGTGTATCCGCCTCGGTTGCTTTCTGGACTCCGGTTGCGTCCTCCCTTCATCATGAGGTAGCCATCGCCGCCACCTGGAGTGGTAGGTCCACCACTGGGGCTCCTATGATGGTGCCTCTGGTACTGACGATCGGGCAGCTCAAGGCGCGAATTGATGGTCATCCACAACTCATCGTCATTTCCATTACCTAACCGCCAGCCACCAAGACCCTCGTAGTCACGGTCGATACCGACAGAGGGGAATAGGCCGATGCCGCCTGACTCCGAGATGGGTGTTATTGTGCCGACGGAGACGGCGGAGGCAGAAGACGGTCGTCTTGTGCGACGCGAGGCGGAACGCCGTGTGGGCGTTGGCGACGGTGACGGGCTACCGGACACCGGTGCCTTGGAGGCATAAGAAAGATACCTAGGGCGTCCGGTAATGTACGATGGAAGTAGAGATATGGCGAGGTCAAAGTAGACGAGAATGACTCGGAATATGAGTACGGTAAAGGCGAGTGTTGTTGTAATACCGGCAAAGATCGCTAGCGGTATCGTGAAGAGGAAGAGAAAGGGGACGATGATGGCGTAGACGGGATTGATGAGGGCCATGGTTGCGGTTGATTGACATAAAAGCCGCAGATAGTTGAGGGTCGTGATGATCGATAACTCGATAAGCCCTTCCTTTACAACATCTCCTCGACTTCCTCGAAAATTGGCCGGTGCGTGGTTTATCTCTCGGTGAAGCAAAAGGATGGTTCCGGGTGTGACCAGTACGTCCCGGTGACTGAGTCGTACGATCCGGTCACTGTCGTTCGGTCGGTGGTCCGATCGTTCGATAACGTTGTAATACCCAGCCCACTGTCGACAATTCCCTCTCCTTCAACACTTGGAAACAGGGACGGGAGGAAAACGATGCAAAGTTGTGTGGATGGAGACCCGGCGGTTTTGTACGATGCGGCAACGGAATGTCAGGTATTGTGTAGGAAGATTTGGTGCACACCAAAAGTCAAAACTTCAGAGACATGGCGGACGGGAGAGGTATGCTCGAGAGAATTGGGATGAGACGAAGGGGAGCCGGGAGCGAGCCTTCAAACCTAGAGGTTGGTGGCTCCCTGGCGTGTGGCAGCACGGAGGGGGGTCTGAACCACACCGGAGAGAAAGCGAAAAGAGTACGGAGTAGGGGTGCAGTCGACGGTTGTGCAGTCAGGTCGGATCGGGAATTTGTTTGGTCTCTTTCACATGCCGGAAGCTAGCGGCAAAGCACTAGCACCGCCCTTGTCTTCTTCTGCCCTTGTCCTTGGACTCCTTGCCGTTCTTGTCCGAGAGGGGGGGCGTTCGATGCAGTGTAACGCCACCTTATCAGAAAGAAAGGGAAAAACTGGAGAAGCCGAGAGCTGGACTATCACAAGCTACAGGGTCTCGAGGAGGGACTACACCCGTTGCCAGTGGCTGGGCTGATGATGGAATGCGAGTGTAGATTTTGTGATGAGCGGCCCATCTTGACTGCGCGCTCGAGCTTGTCGAGTGCCAGGAGAGTTTTTCTGCCCGCCACATACGTGGGCTCCGGCAAGAAGAGGATTTGAGCAATACTTCGGCGTCGTAGGGCCTGTGGGCTCTCTTTCGTATTCCACAGGCTCGTCGTTTTCCGAGCCTCGATAGTTCAGGCCGTCCAATATTGAACATTGTTCAAATCAAATCCCGTTGGGACGGCGGATGAAGGAACAGAGTTTGGAGTTCCTGGACGGTGTCTTTTTTCCATGTGAAGAGCGACGTGTTTCTGACTGACAGAAACGGCTGTGGGGAGCAAGCGGTAAACAGAGTTTGCCGGGTGAATCAGCGTCTTGACTTATGCGCCTCCGGGGGTCGGAATCCTTTGCCTGCGAGCCAATGCCCCAGTAATGCGCCCTGGTGTTCATGGGAGAGTGACGAAAGACAGCAGACGTGCGTTCCGGACTTGGGATGGGGGGACATTGTGTGTGTCTACGAACAGGTATTATGCCGCTATCAGCTTCGCCAAACAGCCCATCTGCTGGTGATGATGAATGCAAGTGCACCATGCGCTTGGTAGGCAGAAAGATAAGAGGTCCGTTTCGGTGAGATGAGTTCGCTTGTTGTCCGAAACCGATCGCCGCATCTCCGCATCTCCGGACTCAAGGCGTGCCAGGGTCAGGGTCAGCGTTGTACGGAAGGTCTGGGGAAAAGTGCAGGGGAGAGTCTACCGAACTGAAGACCCCGCAAGTCCAGAACACAAAGACGTTGCCAGTCAGGGCTCGACAGCGACGAGCAGCGAGCAAGGAGGGTCAGATTGGCAAACCATCGTTTGAAAGGTGTATTCTTTGCGTGCTTTCGAGGTAACGTTGATTATGTGTGTAATGATTTAGCGTTCTGCGGGGTGGCCAGGCCATCCTCAGATATGGCGAGCTTGCTAGGCGTGCCGGGGTAGCAAACGTGTAGGCAGCAGACCACGGTGGTAGAGGAGCCGCAAAGATTGCGCCGATCTTGTCAACGGTGGGCCAACACAGCGAAGATTCCTAGCAGGGGCGAAACACTCGGCATGGCGAACTTTGGGAGACGAGCCATGGACATGACTGCCGTCTGCCGCACCAGGTTGGCCCTGGACGGGTGGGTGGGTAAGATGCTCTTGGTTTCCCCGCGATATCAACATCGAGCAAGTGATTTCTCCAGTCACAGCCCGAACAGCCAGATCAAAATCCTGGGGTGCATGGCATGTCTTGGTTGCGATGTCGGTGTCAAACTCCATCTACCCCAGACCAGACCAGCACAACCATTGGCGGTTGTCTGGGGGAGGAGAGTGTCAGTGTATCCGTAGCATATTGTGCAAAGTTCCCATGGCCCATGCTTCCCTTGTGTGGTTGTCAGGCAGCGCCATTGGTATAAAGGCAGACGCCACAGCAGAAACAGGCATGGTGATCGTCAGAAGCTAAAGCTCCGAGCTTGTGACGGCCAACGAGCGCAGACCACGGAAGGGTCGAGGCACGGCGATGCAACCAGTAGAGTTCTCATTGTCCTAGATGCAGACCTAGACGCAGCCCTAGGCCCGATAGACTTACAAGTGGAAGATGGGACTTTGGGGGTCTCTTTGGCGATAGCAAGCCGTGGAGGTGCATTGGAGGGTGCGGCCTGGGGTGGTCATGTATGTATTGGTGCTTGGTGATTCGCCAACTTGGGGTTTGCCGGTGAGGATTCGACGGGCATCGAGGGTGTCGTCGTCGTAGGGTGGCTGTGTCTGTGTTGTTGTGCGTTTCTGCAGCTGGTGCATGCACTAAACGCCGAAGATACCGACCGACGTGGTGTTTGGCTGCGGCATGACATTCGAGAGACGACAGAGAGACTGAGGTCTGTTGTCATGGCAGGGCTTCTTTGCAAGATGTCACAGTAGCAGTGACGCTCTTCTTCGGATTCAGGTAAAGTACAGACGAGGCGACGAAGAGGATGAGGAGGGTGAGGATCAGGAGCATTGCAAGTTGGGATTTGGGAAGCTCGACGCAGCAAGGGTCTCGAGTGTCTCTCCTTCCTCCCAAACTCCATCCTGTCCATCCGCGCTCTTTCCGTGTCACACCTCACCTCACCTTCAGGAAGGCACTTGGCAGTCCCGCTCCCTCCCCTCCTTCCCCCCGGCCTTCCCCGTCCGTTTCCCGTCGTTCCTTCCAAAACTTCAAAATGATCCAATGGAAATGGAAATGGAAGTCGTAAAATGCAGGTCCCTTGGGGTTGCTCCTGCCCTTGACATCATTTCACAGTAGCCCCACTAATTACCCATTCCAGTCCTGCTTGCTCTCTGAGGCTCAGAGAGGATCGGAGCTGCCCCGCGTTTTCCCTTGTCACTGCCACAGCATCATCGCGCCCTTTCATGTCGACAACATCGAGATGCTCCACTCCAAAAATATCACATCACCGTCCGTCACCTCTGCACCAGTGTGGCAGCCTTCCTGCGGCTCTTTACACTTCCCAAGGTAGTCGACGGGTATCCATCTCCGGCGTATCGGCCAACATTCTCTTTCATCGCCGCTGTCTCTCCATCTACGCCTTGAACGTGCCTCGAGATACTTCCCCACGCTTAGAGTCTCCGTCGTATTCGCAACCCCCCGCCGCCGTCCAAGACCGTCCCAGCGCGCCAAAGTCCCTGCTTGCAACCGTCACCCAATCCCATAGTTCCAGCCGTCCCGTTCCTGGCCACTCATTCGCGTTTTGAAGACGGCCAAAGATATTGGATGGTTCCGGGGTGCAGTCACCGGTAGGAGATAGCCATAGTCAAACTGTCTACCTATCGTGTTATACCTCTCCTTTGAGCCTCAGCCGTCTCTCCTGTTTGAGGCCTGGCGATCACCGTCTTTTCCGCTTCCCCGTCAAGCTCAACCCGGTACACCACCAGATCCAGACCAAGCACCGACCAGCAGCCAGTCAAACACCACTATGTGCGGCCAACATGACGGTGAGGAGCTTACCCGCTCCACCGCCGTCACCTCTGTCTCGACTTCATCGGACCCCTTCCCCTGGGAATCTGGCATCTACGATGCTCATTGCCACCCCACGGACACCATGTCCACTATCGAGGCTATACCTAGTATGCGCGCCTCGACTCTAACCGTCATGGCCACCCGGAGCCAAGACCAGGCCCTCGTTGCTGAGGTTGCTGCGTCCCACGGTGTGCGATCAAAGTACGAGCTGTCTCAGGGCCATCTGATTCCCTCCTTTGGCTGGCATCCGTGGTTCTCTTACCAGCTGTTCGACGACACCGTGCCCGAGGCTGAGAGGACGTACCACGAGGGCCAGCCCGACGCAAAGAAGCGCCATTACCAGGCCGTGCTGGCCCCCGCCCCTGAAGACCCCGACTTTCTCGACGCCTTGCCCACCCCGCGTTCTTTGTCGGCCTTTTCAGCCGATACCCGGGCCCGCCTCCAACATCATCCCCTGGCTCTAGTCGGCGAGGTTGGTCTCGACAAGGCCTTTCGCCTACCCCAAGGACGAACGGACGCCGACGAGTCCTCTCGTGACCAAGGCCTTACCCCAGGTGGTCGTGAGGGGCGTCGTTTGGCGCCTCAACATGTCAAGATGCCCCACCAGGTTGCCGTGCTGAAAGCTCAGCTGGCTCTTGCGGGTGAGCTTGGCCGTCCTGTGAGTGTCCACGGCGTCCAAGCCCACGGCGTCCTCCATGATACCCTCTCTTCGCTGTGGAAGGGTCACGAGAAGGAGGTCGTCAGCAGGAAGAAGCGTCGTCTCGTTGCCGAGGGAGCCGAAGACTTTGATTCTGAGGATGAACTCGAGGAGGATGAGTTTGGCAGGAAAGACGTCCCGCCGAGGCCGTACCCACCGCGGATATGCCTCCATTCGTACTCTGGACCTGCTGAGATGCTGAAGCAGTATACTAACCCAGCCGTACCAGCGCGCATGTTCTTTTCCTTTTCTTCGGCCATTAACCTAGGCACCAAAGCTGGTGCTGACAAGATTGCTGAAGTTCTCCAGGCGTGTCCCGACAATAGCATCCTGGTCGAGAGTGACCTACATATCGCTGGTGAGGAGATGGATGCTAGACTAGAGGAGATGTACAGGAAGGTGTGCGAGATTAAAAAGTGGACGCTGCAGGAGGGAGTGGAGCGCATAGGAAAGAACTACCGGGAGTTTATCTTTGGTTGATACGGGTGCACGATGAAGATGTTCGGCCAAGTAGAAGAATTCTTTTCCTGCACTGGATCCCTGAGAAACCTGGCCTTTTATCTGTCTGGTCCTGGTTGTAGTGGCTTCCACGGTTACGATAATTCCCAAGCGTTACTTCAACGTGCATATCCCACGCGATCCGCCAAACGACCGCCGTCCAAGACTCTTGCAAAGGCTGGAACAACCGAGAAGCATAATAACGGCATGTTGGCTGGTGTCTCGCGCCTTGTCGAGTTGCATCGTCGTCGTTGACCTCGTGTACCTATGTCGGGTACAGACACAATATTTGGGCGGCGAGCGATGCCGTTGCGAGCGTAGGAATTCGCTGCTACCGTATATCACAAAAAGAGTTGAATATAGATGCTTTGCGCTTCACTTAGGTGAACATGTATATATATATATACATATATGCGAAAGTACGAGTTCAGGTCTATCATTGATGATTATTTCTTCATCTTCATCGCTTAACAGCGACGAGTATATATATCCACACAACCAACACTATCCCAAAGTTTAGGCCTCTACAGGCCCACAAACGCCGATGATATATACATAGCAAAAAGAAACACAAAACAAAATGCATAAGAGAGAAAGAAAAAAAAAAGATGTGATATAGATGCGGGATATCTCTACTAAATATCAATGTTTATACTCAAAAAAACCCCAACTCTCCTTTTCACTACACACTCCCATATACATCCCCTCTCCTTCTCTACTTCATAAAAGATAGACCCTCTACCTAGTTCTTGGTCTCTCCCAGGACATCATCAATATTCGACGCCATATCCGACCCCGCGCTGGGGGTATAGTTGCTCGAACCGGGCGTGTAGCTGCTGAACCCGTCCGAGACAATCACGGACGGCGCGGCATGCTCGTCGTAGGCGGGGAGGACGTCGTCGCCCATGTACTCTGCAAAGGCGGTCGTCGGGGAGGGAGGGGTGATGATGGCGGGGCGCTGGAAGTGGGAGTGGGTGGGCATGAGGTGCTGGTGCTGGCACTGCATCTGCTGCTGCTGCTGCTGCTGCTCCTGCTCCTGCTCCCTCATCCTATGCCTCCGCTCCTCGGCAGCAACCATCTCCGAGACGAGGGTCGCGGCGTTGCGGAACTCTGTGATTTCATCCGTCATGCTCTCCATCGTCTCAAAGTCCCGTTCCGACTCCGAGAGGGAAGGACGGCTGTTCATGAACGCCTGCTTCTCCTCGTCTTCTTCCCCCGTGACGCCGCCGGTGGTGAACATGCGGGACCAGAAGTCTGTGAGGGTTGCTTTGAAGGCTTCTTTGCGGGCTTCGCGGTAGTCGCGGCGGAGGGCGCGGCGGGAGTGTTTGCGTTCGCGGCGTTCTGCGCAATATTCACTGCGGGAGGGGCGGGAACGGGAGAGGATGCCTGCGCGGAGGAGGGCTAGGATTCCGATGAAGAGGAGGACTGCGACGGAGATTTTGGCGGGGAGAGGGAGGTGAGGGGGGCCTCCGTGGGGAGGTCCGTGGGGACCGCCGTGAGGGCCTGGCGGCGGGGGAGGGAAACCCGGGGGCTGTTTTGTGTTAGTTTGTTGGTCTGGGGAGAAGGGGGAGAGAAAGGGGGGTTTGACTTACGCCGTGGTGACCGTGAGGGCCGCCGTGGTCGCCTTCGTGGTCGAGGGGGTGCTCGTGCTCGAAGTCGGGAGGGGGGCCCGGGGGAGGAGGACCAGGGGGACCGGGGGGACCGCCGTGGTGAGGGCCGTCGAAGGGAGGAGGAGGAGGAGGTCCGTGGTGGCCGTGGGGACCGGGTCCGTCGAAGGGAGGCGAGGGAGGAGAAGGAGGAGGAGGACCGCCGTGGTGTCCGTGAGGTCCGTCAAAGGGAGGAGGGGGAGGAGGGGGAGGAGGAGGCGGCGGGCCGTGGTGATCGTGAGGAGGTCCATGAGGAGGCTCGTCGAACGGCGGGGGAGGAGGGCCGTGGTGAGGTCCTCTCGGCGGCGGCTCAGGGGCATCCTCGGGGGGACCATCGGGAGGGCCCTTGGGAGGGGGCGATAGGCAGTGGCAGAAGCCCGGAGGAGGGGGACCAGGCGGCGGGGGCTCAGCGTGGTTTCCCTTTGTGTGGTTGCCGTGCTCGGGGAAGGGGAAGCCCGGGCACGAAGGAGGAGGACCGTGGGGACGACGGCCGTGGGGACGACGGCCGTGGTGGTGGCCTTCTCTTCTGCCGTCGGGGCCTCCCGGGTGACGGCCCTTGCCGTGGAAGCCGGGGCCGCCGCGGACGCGGTGCATGAGAGTGTCGATGACGCACTTTAGGGAGTCGCAGGAGCGGAAGCCGCGGTGGCTGGGGGGGAAGATGCCGTGGTCTTGAGCGAGGCGGGATTCCTTCTTGTGGATGGCGTGCTTCAAGGCGTGGAGCTGGTGGCGCATGCACTCGAGGTCGTCGAGCTCTTTGAGGACCTTCTGGTCGAGCTCGGGGTGCTCTTCGGGGCGGTCCTCGGGATGGTGAGGGCGGCGGCGGTGGTGGTCGTCGTCGTCGTCGTCGTTCTCGTGGCCAGGGCGGTGGTGAGGAGGGCGATGTCCTTGCTCGCCAGGGTGGTTATCCGGGTGGTTACCGACATGGTGATGCGGCGGCGGGGGGAAAGGAGGATCCTCGAGGAGTCCATCCTCGTCGTCACCCGGGCGGGGAGAGTGGCCCTCGAACTCGGGAAGAGGGAGGGAGGGAGGAGGCGGGTGGGCGTCCGAGGTGCGGACGTTGCCGGCGACCTCGATGATGGCGGCCGGGGCGGTCTGGCGGAAGCGGGCGACGAAGGCGAGGTCGGAGGCGAGGGTGCGGCCGGAGAGGGACTCGAGGGTGAAGCGGAGGAGTTGCTCGTCGCCGGCGCAGGTGGCGGACCAGGAGGCGATGAAGGTTGAGCCGTCGTGGTCGCCGGCGAAGGTGCCGCGGCCGAGGGTGTGGCCGCCCTGGGAGAGGGCGTTGTCGTTTACTTTGATGTTTGGGTAGGCGCAGGGGGAGGGGGCCTCGAGGACTTCCAGGTGGAGGGTCTACGATGTGTTAGATTTGGGATACTTTGGAGTTAACAGGGGATGAGCTCACGTAGGGCTTGGTCTGGTCCTCGTTGAAGCCCGGTGGGATATCAAAGGTGACAAAGGTTGATGGGGAGGCATCTGGATGATGTTAGTCATGATGAACGGACGATGAGACTGTGGAATGGGATATGAGGGGAGGAGAACATACCGTTGACCTTTTGCATACCAATCTTGGACGGAGCGGCGCCCACGAGGGCCGGCGCGAGCAGGAGAGCCCTCGCCAAGCCACGCATGATGGGCGGTTTGGGGGATGTTTGGTTGTTGGATACGGGATTTGAGGTTTACCCTCGTCGAGACTCAACGGTCGTCAACCCCTTCCTTGGCCAAGGCGTTTACAAATCTCCAAATGTTCGTATTTGAGAAATCCCCTCTGCCTGGAGCAAATGGGTCCTTGTCGTCAAGCGTCCTTTCGTTGTTGGGAGTGAGGTTGAGTTGAGTTTGGTTAGGTCCGGGTGACGAGGAGTGAGAGGTAGAAGGAAGGATGGAGAGTGGACGGCAGGGTAAGGTGATAAATGGCTGCCTGGTAGATGTGTGTGTACGTAGATATGTATGTCGTCGAGTCGTGTATTGGTTGATGGTGTGCGTTGGTTCGGTGTGCCAACTTGTTGCTAGTCCAGTCGTCTTACACCGTCAATGGGCAAGACTTGATGTCTCACACACATACACACACACACACACACACACACTTACAACCCCCCTTAGTGGAAACGAAATAAATATGAAAGAAGAACGAGTGGAAAGTATTCACACTTTCCACCGAGAATGAAAAGTGATGAACTGAGAAGGTGAGGAAGCAAGAGAGAGAGAGAGAGAGAGAGAGAGTGTGTGTGTGTGTGTGAGAGAATGGAAAAAAAAAAAGAAGGAATCCTGTAAGATACAAACACACACAGTCACACCCGCAGAGAGAGAGAGAGAGAGAGAGAGAGAAACAGAGCGAGGCAGTGTCGAGGGACGCGCAGTCTCACGCCAGGAGGCAAGTGGGCACAGAATCAGGGACATTTGGGCTGCGCAATCCTCTCGGCGCCGCTGGACCGGCCGTGGCCAATCAGCGCCGATGAGCTGACGAGTCCCCTCGACCTTCTCGAGGTACGTACCTGCCGCTTGGCTCGTGCACTCCGAACTGCCAGTCCCGCGCCGGGATCCACCCGAAACCCACCCTCTCGGATAGCCAATGAGAATCAGCGCACCACGGCTAAGCATCGGACCGGTGGGGTTGATGCGACGGCCCTGGGATTCTTTTCTGCTCCTGTTTCTTTGCGAGAGCACTGGTACCAAGTGGTTCATGGCCTTGATACCCTGCTGACTACGGATACACTGCAGTCTCCACAGTCTGCAGCTAGACTGCTAGAGCTGTGATGTCCCGTTTGCCGCGTGAGTGCGTTGGTTGTCCCTGTGTTGGGTAAACCGCAAACCGCAAACCACAGACTCGGGTGGATCCCGAACGGGCTAAGCACCGGGACGTGGGGGACCGCGCTAGTCTTCCGAGGCGACGGGTCCCCACCGTCGAGGCGATGAACAGTGAACTCGTGGGATTCGGCACTGCTGGACGCGCATTGCTGCTGCATTTTTGCTCCCGACGTCCTGGACGGCCACGCCGCGTCTGGTCCTTTGCCTTGGGTTGTTTGATTATTTTCGGTCCCTCGGTCCACGATCGGGTGGAGCTATCAGCTATGTGGCCCAGAATGAACGAAAATGGGTGGCCAAGCGCCTACAGCCCACGCATACCCGTACCTCCACGGACCATTTTGGCATGTCACAGTCCTCGTTGCCGCCGTGGGCGCCGTGGGCGCGCGGCTCCTCCTTGATTAATAGTCGAATCAATGGCCACGAGGCCATCCACCTTTACAAGACGACGGCGTGGAAGAAGGGACCAAACATGAGACCCAGGACAGAGAGAAGGGGGGGGAGATCCTGAAGAAGAAAAAGAAGGCTCATTCGCCTATGATTAAGCAATACACTAAGGTAGTCTCGTCCAACGTAATTTGTAAACATACAAGCATGTCCCGTGAGAACTCCTGAATGTAGGAATACGCATCCGTACCTTGTAAAAGTAAAGACAGAAGTCAACGGACAAACAAGCCGGATACACCACCCCTTCCGCCGTTCTCCCCGGCTGCCCCCTTCTCGCCCCGCCGTAGACTGTCAGATGGTTTAACCTACGGATGCAGTGCCGGCAAGGGAGATATACGAGACGAACCAACCAACAGAACAAAACCAAACATCACGGACAAAGACCACGCAACTCCTCGAGGCTCAAGCTTTGCACCACTGACCACCCAAGAAACAAATATCGTAGTCAAGAATCCCGCCCGTCCACGCGTCGACTACTAAGAGTTGCATGTATGTAACATGGCTCTCGGACTCGCTCTCCACTGGGGAAACAACAGATCTGCGACGAAACAATCGCAACTCTGTGATTATAACCCCCCGGGTTGACAGGTATAGCAGACCCCGCCGCAACACAAGGAGCATGAACAAGCAATGATACCGGCAACGACTTCTTACAGGGGTGGCAAGAGGTCCTTCAACACTTGCACACGGGCCCGCGCGACATCGGACCCTTGCTCGCCTTCGCCCATCAACACCATGATCTTGATCATTTTTGCTGCACGATGTTAGTCAGCACACAAGGACGTGAAGTCGAAAAACGAGATACCAGGAAATTGAGAATTGCAAAAGAGGGGAGGGAGAAAAGGGAAACAAGAAAAAGAAGAAGAAAAAAAAAAAAAAAAAAAAAAAAAAAAAAAGAATACTCACCAATATCACTCCTAGCCCTCTGGAACAACGGATCCCTCTCCGCCTCCTCCGCCTCCTCCGCCGCAACAGGGTCCTTGCCCATCTCCCGCAGCACGCTCCCAATACACAGCGCCTCGAGAAACGCGCGGTGGTTGAAAACCCACCACACCCGCGCCTCGAGCTCAAAGATGTCAAACAACAAGAAAAACGACGTAATCGCCTCGTGCGCCGCCTCCAGCGTGCCCCGCGTATTCGAAGGACATTCCGCGCTCTCCGACGCGTACACGAGCATGATGTTATGGTGATAATTACTCGTCAAAAACAGCGTCTGCCTCACGACGCGCTTATTCGTCCGCGCTAGGCTCGCGAGGCTGTCTGCGTCCCAGGAGCGGAAGACATCGGGAAAGGAGCGGTAGACGCAGCGGAAGTCGGCGATGAGTTTGGACTTGTGGCGGACGGTGGCGCAGATGGGGAGGTCGAGGGAGCGCGGGGAGCAGATTGTTTCCTGGACGAGGTTGGCGAGGGTCCAGGAGCCGCGGATGTAGGCGATGTCTGTCGGGTCCGAGGAGGCGATGGCGGAGCCGTCGTCGACGAGGTCTTCGACTGAGACGTCGGTGTGGGTTGCTGAGGGCGGGAGGGAGAGGAGGACTGTGAGGAAGGTGTCTTGGAGGAGGACGGCTTGCCAGAGTTTGCGGCGTTGTTGCTTTTCGAAGATGGGGGCGTCGGGGGTGACTGTGATGCGTGTGTTAGTTTATTGGGTTCTTCTTTAAGTAGATGGGTGAATGCCGTACCGATGTTGGGGTCGCGGTGTAGACCCATGGCGTAGGCTTGGCGGATGAGTATGCCGGCAAAGGCCCAGCCGTCCGAGGCGTGGTTGTCGTTGATCAAGAAGTATGTCAACCTGGTACAGTCAGCATCAATCGTAAGATGGACGTGTGGACATCCAACATGGACAAGGACTACTTACAGCACCATGGACTGGATAGACCGCAACGAAGCCGCACTCAGGTAAGAAAACATACGAAGCGCCTGGTTACTCGCCGAGGCATAAAACTCAGCCGTCTGCTTCGCATCGCTCGGTGAATTCGACGTCACAAACTGCGTGCCCAGCGCAAGCATCACAAAGATAAGGCCCACAAACGCCGCATCGACACGGTTCTTCTCCTCGGCGCTGAGGCTCCAAAAGTGCTCATAGTCGGCGTAAAAGGTCTGCCGGTGGATCATGGGGTAAACCGGGTCGACGCACTCAAAGTACTGCGCCAGCAAGATGTCGGCCTGGACCTTCTCCGGCAGCACGGAGATGACCTCGGGCAGGCCGCCCTCGCAGGTCCAGTAGTTGGCAAAGGGGTGCTCGGAGCCGATGCCAAAGACGTTGCTGGCGGTGGGCAGGGAGTAAGGGACGTTGGAGAGGAGACCCGTGGAGGAGGAGGAGAAGGCGACGGAGCCGACGGAGCCGCGGGAGGTGAAGCCGCGGCCTTCGATGAGGCCTCTGTCTGCTACGTTTGGGATGGTGGAGATGTCGCCTGGTCCTTTTGGTTTGGGGGGTTTCGTCATGCGGCGGCCGTTGGCGAGGGATCTTGTTGTTTCTCTGCTCTTTTGTTAGTTGTGTTCCAAGAGTCTCGACAATAGTCTCGAGAACCGTGTGAATGGACGTACTCAAGTATTGTGGCCACAGCTGCATATCGGCATTCCGTTTGACGTTTGATACATGCTAGGCAGTTTGGTCGACCTCGGTCACACTGCGTGTGTGTTAGTATAAACATTCATCAAAGGACTCTCTGTGGATTTAATTGGCCTGCTGCTTTCACTTGAGAAGCAACGGCGAGTTTACGACGGATGCATGCCTTGTGCCAAGCGCGAAAGAATTGGATCCTTGTATTCGCGCGGTGCAACTATCATGAAGCATCGAGAAGCGAGACTAGCCACTCGGGATATGGCGATGAAATTTGATCTAGCATTACCAACAGCGCAATTCGGTATGGGGGCGATAAGCACGGACAGATTAAGAAACAAAACAAGTCGCACAAACCTTTGTCTTGCGCTCAACGCACTCAAAGCACGACAACGTAGGCTTGTTACGCTTCTGCTTCTTCCTCGCAGGGCCCTTGTCGCCGCCGTCATCGGGGCTAGCCGAGTTGCCGTCGACGCTCTCATCCGGATGCTGGTGATGAGCGCCATTACCGTTGCCGTAGCTTTTTGGCGTCGTCGTCTGCTGCCGCGCGACGGGTGTCGAGTATGACGGACCCGATGCCGCTGATGCCGTCGGTGAGAGTGCGGCGGCTGCTACTGCTGCTCCTCCTCCTCCTGCTCCTCCTGCTCCGTTTTGGGCATGAGGATGAGTGAGTGATGGTAGACGTCCGTGTTCTGGGGCTGGCGATCCGTAGGCTGTTGAGGCCGAGCTCGGCGTGAAGGGTTGCTGTTGAGGATGTGGGAGACGGTTTTTGGAGGCCATGGTGGGCTGTTGGTCGTGTGGGAACTGTTGCGCGCGCGCGCGCCTCAATTGAACGAATTGAAGGTGTGAATCGATGAGTTGAGTTATGTTGTTAGACGAGCGGCTGATGCCAAGACCAATTTGATGCTGATGGTCAATGGCGGCGCGAAGGTGAGCGAACGAGAATCTAGACGAGCTCGTCTGTTCCTTTTTCCGCCGTCTGGGCACGCCCGCGACGATGCTTCACCGGGAGGATTGCAATTGCTCCAGGCGGTTGGCTGTCCAAGTCGCCGGGCGGAGGATCGTAAGAAAGTGTACGGGATAGACACTGTGACCGATTCGAATCATTAGATGCCCCGGACGTCGCAACCGGCCGGTCGGTTGAGAACTTCCAATGCGGTGCTTCCGTTCCCCGGGAATAAAGGCCAAGATATTTCCAAGGAGCGGAGGACGGAGAGTGGATGGGCAAGACGCGGCGCCGCGGCGGCGGGCGGGCTTTGCGCAAAGTTTCCGGAAAGTATAGTGATTTGATCCGTGTCGGTATCGGTGTCGCCGGAGGTAGGTGTGTTTGCGCGTTTGCGCGTTTGCGCTGGGAATAAACAGGCGATAGAGGCACGTAGGTAATGCGGTGCGGCGGCGGGCGTCACACACCGAAGGGGGGGTGAGATTGCGATGGGAATAAGGAGGGAAACAAAAGGGAAAGGGAGAACGTGCGAAACACGGCGGGAATTGGGAATGGGGGGCAGAAACTCTCTGGGACTGGGACTGGGACTGAGACTCAGCCTGGCCGGGAGCGACACGGCGGACGGCTCTCTTTCTCTCCAACAAGTTGACAAGGGACTCGAAGAAAAGAGGGGAAACGCTTGTCTTGTCTCTATGCCTTGTTCATGGTCCGACGAGCTACGGAATAATCCAGGCAGGTCATGAGATTGAGCAACCAAAGTTCCTATCAGAATCATCAACTTCATCAAACACAAAGCCCTTGTCTCGAACCAGTTCCATTACCTGGTACCGATTCCCAGGTTCCATGATCCAACACGATGACCAAGCCATGCCACTCACGGAGGGAAATCCGCGATCGATGGGGGGCAAAGAACGAACATACGCACAGTAAGGCGCCCGCCCGCCCCTTGATCAGTACATTAGTGCTCCACGGTTCATGGCCATGCAGCAAGACCTATGTACGAATACAGCAAGCCCTTCTCTTGCATGCTACAGTGGTGGGCAAATCAGCACTAAACCGCGCCGGGGGGAGGGGGCAAAAAGGCTTGTCTTGTCTCGGGCCCCAGAAACCCAGGTTAGAATCGCCGGGAAAGCCTCCCCGAGTGCCGCCATTCCACCATGCATACATGTATGGAATCCTTGATATTGCTGAACATCACGTATATCCGTAGATCCGGTGTTGAAGAAAAAAAAAAAAAAAAAAAAAAAAAAAGAAACAAAAAACCCCCAGGCTTGCGAACCCTCAAGATGCGGTTCTATTGTTTGCTTCTTCGTGAGATGACCAGAGATAGGTAGTTCGTCTTCCTACGTTGGATGCAGACATCGTTCTTCAGGGGATTGGAGGAAACTCATCGTCAATCCTTCAGAAGTATTCATTCGTACGGGGGCGACTTTACCTACAGTTGTTGAACGTCGCAATGCCAACCTTATCAAATACCCCGATATTATTGACCGAATGGATCAAGGTGAACAAAGACAACATGCAGCATCCAATAGACCCATCCTCATGCATCTTCTCTCTGCGCCTCCCTCCCTCCCTCTTGCTCGGATACGCTGCCACTTTCTGCTTCTTTGCCTGCCGCGAGCTCTCCTGCCCCAGTGGAGATTTCCCTCTCTCCCATCTGCGCTGCGCACTCGCACTTCTACCCGAACATCGACGTCACCAATGCAACCAGAAAGCGCCCGCAAATGTCAAGTCGAAACTTTCAACAATGACCTCGTCTCGGGGGACGACCATTATCAAAGCTTCAGCATGAATCCCAACTTTCGCGGCTTCCTAAGACTTCCCAGACTCTCTCTCTCTCTCTCTCACAACAGACTGGCGAAAGACCCTGTTGAGGGTTCAGACGATTTCCACCTCGGCCCCATTGCGCCACGACCTCCCAAGGGGCCGCCGATATCGCCTGCCGGCCCACAGAGGGGCACTCTTCCGCACGACTCCCACAGCTCGCGCGCTCTATGAGCTGCCCACCTGCCAAATCAAGCATCCAATCACAAGACGCGTCGATGGTTTAGTGGTAAAATTCTCCGTTGCCATCCAGCAGCGTCGGGGAGCCGGGGGTTCGATTCCCCCTCGACGCATTTCTTTTGCTATATTCACCATTTCGATTCCATAGCGCTGCTCTCTCCTATCTCTTTTGTGTTACTTGGTAAACTTTTTAATTTTTTTTTTTCATCTTCTGTAGTGTTGTAGTGTTGTAGTGTCGAATCGAGTGAGTGGCGGGCGTTCAGTCACGGTGGGTGTGTGAGTGAGTGCTGGATTCAGGGGCCCGAGTGTTGGCTTTAACCATTTACTTACTCCCCGTCACTTTTGCACATGTAATGTCTGTGTGAACAGAGATATCACCACGGCCCGCTCGTGGCATAGGTTGTTGCTGATACAGGAAGATTTAAAATCACTCATTCCCTTGCGTCGGCCCGAACCAGGCATCAATCGTAGGTGAGGCTTTCGACGTCGACATACAACTAGGTAAGACTCACAAAGTTGACGGGGTATCGTTCAAGAGACTGCAGTTTCTTCTTTCTACCCAACTCTTCTCCCTCAAGTCTCTACTCGCTCTCTGGGCCTAGGAAAAACCTCAAGTGAGGCCTGCCTAGTACATTGTTTATCCTCCATCCGCTCCCCTTCCACCTAAACACCGAAAATCAAGACAGAAAAGCCGGATTGCCCCCAATAACCAACTCAAGGTATATAAAACAACTGAAGCCACAGCACACCTTTTCAGAACGAAACCTGCAACCAACGGGGGCAACTCCTTTCCCCCAATCCTTAGCTCTTTCCTACACTCCAGCCCCTTTGAAACGATAGAATCCCTTTTCCAATAGCCCGTCATCCTGTTCCATCACCCCCATCCATCCGTCAGTCGTCCCACATTACTTTTGCCATCCCAAAGGCCGTATTCTCATCTACCATCAAACTTTCCCGATATGTACTCGTACTTCCCCAACCACATTCGAGATATGTTGCAACACACTGGCCGAGGCCTGAGTAGTGACCTCAAAGTGCAAGCCCCGTACCATCGCCGGTCCACCGGTACAAAGCAAGCAGCTCTCGACGGCGCTGGTGCTGCTCGTGGAGATCCTCCGGCACCCGACCCCTGACCTGCGCCAGAGCACTTCGCATAACCTTGCTAAAGTTGCGCTATGAGAGAAGAGTAGTCAGCATCGAAGTCTCTTGATCGCAGACAAGATGCGAGGGTCAAGAAAAGGTAAAAAGCTCACCTGGTACTCTGTATTCAACGTCACAACGCAGGCCTCATGCGCGCGCACAATCGTCTCACACGCCTTGATAACACTAGGCGACGCCTCAAGCTGCAACTTATCCGCAATGAGGAGCAGCAAAAACGACCCCTGGAGGAGGTAAATACCAAAGAAGAACGGCATGAACTCCAAACCCGGGTCGAACTCGAGAATGTGGCTGATAGCCTCGGCCGCCGAGACAGCGTGGCCTGTAGCCGTGATGAACCCCTGCGACGAGATCCACAGGTCGTTGTCGTCGATGAGATTGATGGGATCCCACTTGCCCGCCAACAGGATGTGCAGCACGTGCATTACGTGCGTGCCGTACGCCATGACGATCTTGGTCTGGATGTCGCTCTCCGTCATGCGGTTTAGTGAGGAGGAGGAGGCGGTCGTGTGGACCGAGTGTACGGAAGGTGTGCCAATGTCTGCAATCGGGCCGTGGTCAACGCTGCCGCTCTCCGGGTTCACTACCACCACGTCGCCGTTATCGTCGAGGTTGAGATTGTTGTTGACCCGCGTGAGGTGAAGCTGCTCGAACCGCCCGAGGCTCTTCTCATACGCCTCGAGGTGGCGCGTGATCTCGCTAGCCTGATCATCCCACTCGCGCGCCGAGCGGAATCCCACGCCGAACCGCGGGTGGTTTCGCGCGTGATGTAGGTCCACAATCTCACCCAGGATCGTCATCAGCGGGAGGAAGTAGCCGAATATGCTGTGCCCAGTACACTCAAAGTGCGGACCGCGCACACGGCCGCCGCTCGATGCGCCGCCGGCACCGGTTGAGGCGTCTCCTCCCAGGCTGGGGTCCGTCGTGACATTTGCGAGCCGGAACTCGCCATTCTGCCACGCCGTGTCGTCCATCGGCTGCAGCAGACCGGCGCACTCGAGGTCGAGCAGGAATAGGGGCCTGTTATAGCACAGGGCTAGGTGGCGGTCGACAATGTACGTGAGCCACCATATCCGTCGGCGCTCCTCGCGCTCCTCCTCTGTGATGACACCAGGGTGTCCATTGCCTGCCAATTCGTCTTCAGCGTCGACATCGATGCCGCCCTCCCTGTCATGTCCGTCGCTTTGGTTCATGGAGAGGGGGGTTGGCGGTAGTTCGCGGCCGAGCTTCAGCTCTCTCGCCAAGGACCAGGCCGCGTTCCACCATCGCAGGCTCGCGCCCTTATACTCGCTCGCGGAGACCACCGTCGCGAGGTGGATGTAGGTGATTACGTCGTCCAGAGTGCCGGCGGCCCCGAATGGACCAGACTCGCCCGTGAGCGCGTCCATGCTGATGGACCCGGGAAGCGCGACGCCGAGCCCGCCGAGAGCTACGCCATCAATGGCTGGGCTTGTTACTGGCGATGTGTCGCCTGATGGCGTGTGGATGAGCGGCTTGAGAAGGCTGACGGTCAACTCCAGCAGCCTTTGGCAGATCTTGCCTCGTGCTGAGGGGACGCTGGTTAGGAAGGGTGCGTCGCTGGTCTGGGCTGCCACCCAGAGGATACTAGCCAGCAGCGCGGGTTGACAGCGTCTGGGTTTGCTGGGATGGAGGAAGGATCTCTTGCGGAAGACGAAGCCTAGGACGTAGGGTGACATTGGATGCATCTGCGCCGAGGACGAGGACGCGAAGTAGAGGTCGATCAGGTCGCAAGCCAAGGCCGCCGGGATGAGATTCCCAAGATGGGGCATCAGAGGGTGCAGGACGGGGTATCGTAGTTGTTGACCGGGGTGGGC